AGATCATTAGGACCAAAACAGTGTGCAATTAATATAGTTTACAGTACTGAAACACTAGCACGCATGTCTTAACTCCAATACGCTGCCAGGATTTAATACTGGAATTCTACAACGACTGGACTCAAACTTTTGCCTCCTACTGTACGTAGAATCGTACTGATATAAAAATAACTAAATTAAACTGCTATTGTTGTTCTCCATGTTATATATTTTTACCAATAATTTAATTACCTTAAAAGCTGTCAAAAACCTTCGCAAAACTAGAAAAAAATGCAAGTAAGTATCCGTTGTTACAATACTGCAAACAGCTGGGGTTAGGTTGCAGTTCGGTTGCGGTCGACCGATAATAGAACCGCAGACGACCGCAAGGGAAAAAATACGATCGCGATTGCCGTTCACTTCCGAAAGGAATGTTATGAACAGCTGAGAACGACAACACAATAATCATATCGAAAACATTTTAAGAATGTCTGTCAGACCGAGTTAGGCCGAGGTTAAACCTCCGTCTCACCGCGGTTCGACCTCAGTCTGACCTCGGTTCAACCGCTATCAGACCGAGGTTTGACCTAGGTTAACCACGGTTTTTGTTAGCTTATTTCTGGGCAGGACTGTAATATCCCACGAAACATCCTTTATATTTTCAATACTTATAATGCACATACTTAAATTAAGAGGATTTTGACTTGCTATCATAACTGAACAACATCTGGCATCGTACCATTACAATACCCGAGAAACGGTTCAGTCGTCGTATGCAATTCGATGAAAAACGATATGGCTCCACCAAGGAGTGAAAAAACCGACAGACTTAACTGGAATGAGTAACCACGCGAAACCAATCCGGGCGTTCGTTGCCTTAAGAATCTCAGAAAACGTCTCAACTCTTTTCCTCGACATGCAAACGTGTATCGTGTAAATCTCGAAGAACTATCGGAGGCTTCTGAAGAAGCCGAGCTGGTCGAGCCCAGGGACGCCGCTCGGCACGTGCAACGAAGTATGTCACTATCAGGTTTCAAGATTATTCGCCGCACCCCGTTTTCTTGATTTGGAGAGTGCATACTGCACACGACAAGGGTATGAACTCCAGAGTTGTCATCCTCAACCTCCAGTAACCAAGGGGAAATATCGTTGATTCGCTCCAAAAATTTCTTCTCTCGTCGCTTTATAATCTCTCCAACAAAAGTGGGAGCAAGCCATATTATCACGACGAAAATCAAGTAACAGATAAATTGCGGAAGATGTTTCGAGTGATATTCGCGGCCGGAAATGGCCTGTGCAAGCCCGAAGCCGTACAGCGGTATCGCGAGAGCCACAATATTATGCGCGATAAACCACCAGGATATTTGCTTCCAGGAATTCTTTACCGGTCTCGCGTACAGCTGCATGAAAAACGAGACAGCGTCCACGGAGGTGTGTTTCCACCTGAGGAAAATGCCTTCCAGGGCTTTCAAACGAGCCGCGTAGCAACAATACAAAAGCGACAATGTCCAGAACAGTGCAAGTGCTATTCCGAGATCATAGATTATGGTCACTAAAACTAAACCGTATAAAACGTGATCAGCAGGACCATGGAGATGAGGCAGTGCACCAGAAAATCGCCGTGAACCCTTGTTCCACAGTATACCCTTGACGACGTATAGCGTGCAAAGCATGATCGTAAAAAACGTCATTGATACAATCGCTACGACATTAAGGATTCTAAGCTTCCGTCTCAACGGTTTCAAAAGCCCGGTCAATGGTTTCATTGGTCTGAGCACATTCGTTTCCAAGTCTCTTGAAGCAAAGTAGCGGTTTCCAAGAATATGTCCTAACCATACAACGATCTCATGAACGAGATATAGTAGTTGGATATTAAGCCATGTAGGTCCCTCCAAAGCTTGAATACTATTGCGTAAAATTCCAGCAGTTAACAAAAGAAGGTTAACAGTGATAGGGTAGATGTAACGTTCCAAGAATCCAGCTGATGGTGGCCGCCAAACTGACAGGACGCGCAACAGAAAGCGTATCACACGAAAATCGCGCGAGTCAAATAACAGGATCTTGGTGGTTGGCAAGGATTTACATCGATCGCGCCGTTCCTCAATGTTCATCCTTCTTTTACCAAGATGTCTATCTCAACGCTCACTTTTCTTTTTCGGTTAGAAACCTGAAACAATTATACATAATTTATTAACTACTGATCTACAGGGACCAGTTGTTCAAAGCTGGGTTAGCACTAACCCTGGGTTAACTTTTAATCCAGTATTTTGGTGCAAGTGCTTCTGAACCACTATTCGTTTTAAAACCTTTACAAAATTTGGCTTTTGTCGGTCCAGAAAATATTTATGGAAAAAGATATAGTTATGGAAAAAAATCTGGCTCATATTCACTTAATGGTATAGCAAACTGAAAATGCTTGTTTTAATTATACACGATATTTTATAGACTAGAATTACAGATTGTAAGTGAAATGCTGCGAGTGAATACACGTATTTTTCCCCAGTCATCTCATGGGTAGTACTATGCATGGAGATATTGCGTCTCTAAAAACTTCATCTTGTTTATATTATGGACTATGTCAGTCGTATTTTAATAAAGTGCTCAAACCTGAACACAAGCTGTTCAGTCTTATTCCTAACAGACGGGAAAACATATACGCAATTATAATTTACGTAATGATCATACATATTGATCTATATTGTAGAACTATAGTAGATTTTGTAATTCGTTTATCCGGTATATAACTCTCTATCATGATAATTCTAAATATGTATAGTCTCAATGTATATTAAAAAAGTAACAAGTCCTGTACAAATCAGCTTTTAGCTGCCTTTCAGACCTTGGTTTTTAATTAAACTCTCAGACTCTATAGGGCGGGGAAATTTTCTTTAACAAGATTCGATCGGCTTTTTTTCTTTTCCATGCATGCATCCATATATAGCTATATAAGAATGTACTATATATACCTTAGTCTTTTCGCTTTTCTAATATAGTGAACACTATACCCTTTCCTTAACGGCAACTTTTCTTCATCCAAAAGATCCGCGATTATTTATCAATCGGCTTGCAAGTCGGCTTACCTCATCAATATGATGCTTTCTTTTCGTCTTCCTGACTCACTTTCGCTATTCGGCATTTTCGTTATGATATTTGATATTTCATCTTTACTTTAGCTATATTTCATATTTACTGACGCATTGGAACATCTTAGTTTCTTTTAGTTGTTCATACGAAGGTTGCCACCAACAATTTTTTTCGTTTGAATTTTGCAAGAAATCATCCCCTCAAATTGCCCAATACGGCAATAGCTAATACCCAAATTACCGAGATATAGGACTTAGGCCTTTCATTCTTGCATCGATTCTTCCATTAAGATTAGAGAGGTTTAACCACCCCTTCTTTAAGTCGTAAGGGAAATTTAGCTGCGGTATTATTGTATTCGGTTTTATATTCGGTAATATTTTATTATTGAGAAAGGAAACTAAAATTATAGTATTGAAGCAATTTGATATTGGCAAGATATTTTTTAATTCTTTCCATAGATATTACTACTTCGGCTAAAGACCCTTTATATTCATGTTACTGAAACCCGCAAACTCTGTTCGTGCCTCAGAACACTGGCGGTTTCAAAACGACCTCATTCCATGCGGCCCCGGATTAACTTTCCATGGCCGGAGAAAGGTTAATCTTTCATGGCAAAAATGTGAATAATTGATCTTCCCTTCACGATCAGAGTATTATTTGTTCATCACGTTGATTAAACCTTAGAAAGCTCGGAGGAAACGACCAACTATCGGCCAGTTAAAATCCAGGGCCGAGGGCAATTGCCCTCTATGCCCCTTCGGTAACCCAGCACTGCCTTCCCGATGGCCGAGCTAACCGAATTATGTATTTTGAAAATAAAAAGCCTCATGGCTTGCGTCTTCTAAGACATCATCGACACTTCACTGACATCGCCGCGACATGCAGGCGATTTCGTGGGCGCTTGAGGATGTTATGTACATGAAGAGCGTAAAATAAATCAAAATATTATCTTCTTTTATTGAGGGTATGATTTGAATTGGGTCAGCCTCAAATGTTTCGATGCTTATACTGACTGCACTGGAGTCAGCCTCGCAAGCCAGGCGTTGGCCGTAGAGCGTAGGAAGAAAAGCCTGGCTTGCGAGGCTGCAAAGGAGTGAGCGAATTAATGATACGGAATTTATAAAATAACATGTATAAAACGCGTGTTCTGATTGGCGAAGCCTGTTTTCCGATCAGGCCATCCAAACACGCGGAAATTAATTCGCTTTTTGAAATCAAACTTGGAACATTACCTTGTTGTTGTTATTCTATAAAACAATTACTTGCTGTACAAAAAGTGGGAATATTGGTACAAAAGTTGGGAAACAATTTGTACAAACTTCCTAATTTGTGCAGACACAGTGATGCAAATGAGGAAGATTTAAAAATATCCATAAAAGCATCAAGTTCGCGTGAAACATAAGAGCGAAATTACCATTTTTGTATACAAGACGGTAAAGTTGAATACGATATTTCTGCAAAGCGACTGTATATATACCAACCAAGCAATATATCAATTTTAACTCGCGTCACCCGAAACACGAAGACCCAAAATCCCAGGTGTGGAGGATTTTAATACAGAATGTTAAGACAGATTTTAATACAAAATGTCATAGCACGTATTGGGACCCTGGGAAATTGTGGAGATGGCTATATATGCTCTTATTGCAGGGCTACCTAAAAAAAGGCATATTGATAATTGAGGATTGAAAACTTATGAACGTTGTAAAATTTTGTGAAATGTGAGAATTGTGACATTTGTGCAATGTTGAAATTATGATGTGAAACTGATTGGTAAGAATTTACCACATTTTTCGTTCAAAAGCTCATTAATGATTTTTTTCGCTTGCAATCTCAGCACCCGGTTGAGTGTTGACAACACTTGTTTCCCAAGAGGTAATTCAAAAATCGATTTAAAACTTCAAGAAAATGTTTAATGATAATAACTAAACTATATATACAGGTTAGGGCCTTTTCAGTGATCCCGGCAAACACTCTATCTAGTGCTTTTATGATCTATTTCTATCTTATCCATGCGAGATCCTGCCGATAAATACTCCATGCTGTCCACGTTGGATGATTTTGTAGTAAACAAACCTTCTGAACTAGCTTGCAAATATATTCGTTTTCCACAAAAAACGTTGGAAATTACTTCACCTCGGCTATTACTCATAATATAGACAGATATTCACAGCATTATATATACACAGCGTGCTAATTTATGTCGACAGCTCTTAACACATTTCAAAATTGTGAAAAGGTGTGTAGAATTCCGAAAATCCATATAGCTCGACATCATTTTATGATAGGAACTATAAACTAAGATACTGTACCATTACAGTGTTTGTATAACATATTTTCAGAATTCACCGAATGTAGTTCGGTGAGAAACGATATGGCTCCACCAATGAGTGAAATAAACGACAAATTTAACTGGAATGAATAACCGCGCGAAACCAATCCGGGCGTTCGTCCTTTTAGAAACCTCAGAAAATTTCTTAGCTCTTCTCCTCGAAAAGCGAACGTAAACACCGCGGACCTCGAAACACGTTCGGGATTTTCTGAAGAATTTGAGCCCGTCGAGCTCAGCCCCAGCGATGCTCTTTGACAGGTGCAGCGACTGCGAGGTATATCATTTTCAGAATTCAAGACGATACAGCGCACCCCACTCTCCCCATTCAAAGTGTGCACGCCACGTTCGTCAGGGAGGTAGCCCCCCGGATTGTTATTTTCCGCTTCTAGTGACCAAGGGGATATATTGTTGATACGCTCCAAAAATTTCTTCTCTCGTCGTTTTATTTGTTCACTGACAAATATTGGCGCAAGCCAGATGGTCACAATAAAAATCAAGTAACAGATAAATTGTGGAAGGTGCTTCGAGTGGTACTCGCGACCGGAAATAGCCTGCGCCAGCTCGTAACCGTACAGCGGTATCGCGAGAGCCACAATATTATGCGCGATAAACCACCAGGACATTTGCTTCCAGGAATTCTTTACCGGCCTCGCGTACAGCTGCATGAAAAACGAGACAGCGTCCACAGAGGTTTGTTTCCACCTGAGGAAGATGCCTTCCAGGGCTTTCAAACGAGCCGCGTAGCAACAATACAAAAGTGACAATGTCCAGAACAGTGCAAGTGCTATTCCGAGATCATAGATTATGGTCACTAAAACTAAACCGTATAAAACGTGATCAGCAGGACCATGGAGATGAGGCAGTGCGGCTGAAAATCGCTGAGCACCCTTGTACCACAGTAAACCCACCACTACATATAGCGTACTGAGCATGACGGTCACAAACGTCATCGATATAATCACAACAGCATTTAGAATTTTTAGTTTCCGTTTTAACGGTTTCTGAATTCCGACTAACGGCTTAATTGGGTTCAGCACATTCATTTCCATGTCTCTTGAAGCGAAGTAGCGGTTTGCAAGAATATGTCCTAACCATACAACAATCTCGTGGACGAGGTATAGCAGTTGGATACTCAGCCACGTGGGCTTACCAACGGCTTGTACAACATTTCGTAGAATCCCAGCGGTCAACAATAGAAGATTCACAGCCACAGGATAGACGTAGCTTTCCACGAATCCGGCTGACTGCGGTCGCCAAACTGATAGGACGCGCAAAAAATAGCGTATAACACGAAAGTCGCGTGAACCAAATGAAGGGATTTCACTGTTTGGAGAAGACATACTCCGAAGCTCCTCATAGTACCCCACAGTAGTCATTGTCTTTTCAACAAAGATGGTTCCTAAATGCCAAAGATAAACTTCCTGAAGAAATCAATTTCGCGTCTATAACAGAAGGGGCATCTGCTCGCGAAAGCCGCAAGGCCACAAGTTCGACAATGTTAAAACTAGGTTGATTGACAGCTGAAATTGTACTTACAGTTTCAGTTTCACATGATAGTATACGTACTACTCATACTTTCAAATCTTTCTGATCGCATGGAATTTTGAATTTATACATGCACCCGCCGTTGAAGTGGCTCTGCACTGAAAAAATGCCAAATGCGAAAGGTTAATCCGGCCCTTGGCTTAGTGTGTTCAAGGACATAGCAATGACTACAAATAAACGAATGCTGATATCTCGTAGAAAAACTAACAAAGCAAAAGTAACCGCAATTCAACATTGGAATATTAGCATAACATTAGATTTCGTTGTTCAAAGACAAAATACGACAAAAATTCTTAATTAGGGGCATCTTAAAAAACACTTGGATCTTTTTCAAAATTTAATAAACTTTTGAGCACCCAATTACCCACAACGGAAATTATAAAGAACTTCCATGGTTTCTGAGGATCCGCATTACTTATTTGCCATCGAGTCATATCGGTTTATTAGATGTAAATGATTCAAAACATATTCAGGGTCAGTCTTTCACGATTTAATTCGATTTTCACTTCAAGCTTATTTAAAATATTGTCGGTCGTCGTCATTATATTTCGACGTCCCACATCTCAACTACGCCGGTTGTATAAACTTTTACCCATAAGCCTACATTAGCAATGCATTAGCGTAGCTTAATCGCGTCTAACACGCTTCTGATAATATACACGATAGGCTAATTCTGCAACTACCGGCCCAACTATAGTTGAAACTGAGTTAACTATACTTTTTCAAACACACAGCCGCCCCTGAACTCATGTTTATAACATTACACAAATGCCTAATGGCTGGCAGAGCAATAACCACGGAACAACAAGCTCAAAATGCTACTCGAGAGTATAACTATAAGAGGTTAAATGGCTGCTAAAAGTTATTAGGATAAAGCTAATGTCTGAGTAATGAACAATCTGCAATTTGTCGCAAGACCGGATGCCAAAAGTAAAGACTAAGGTCGAGTTAAATTCTTTATGCCTGAAATAGTTTCGCCAGACGATAGCCAGAACTTGTAAATAACAATATAACTGTCTGTAACAGCAAGGAGCCAAATAATTTTACTCGTAAGAATCTTCCCTACGGAACACTGCAAATTTCTGTCCTATATAATAGCTATATATAGTACGCCGCCTATATGTGACAAAACTATACGCGGAAGCCAATTACGACAAAGAAGTAGAATGTCTGAATGCGATGCTTTAAAATTATAATCAATTTAGATTGTTGCACTAGATTAATTGTTAGGTGAAAACTCGCCCAATACGAAGTTGCAACTCACCTTGTTTACTCACACACCGCGCCAGCAACAACTTCCTGACACAACCTCCCCTGACCCTGTAAGCAGGCTACGCTTCAAAATGGACAATGTTAAATGTTACGTCCTGAACGAAGCAAAAGGCAAGGCAAGGTTTATTGTAAACATATGTAGGCACACGACAACGGGAATTCTAATTTCGGAATTACGTATGTTTACGTTTATGCCCATAAATGGTCAGAGGTATTATTCAACACAAGACAAAGGCATCGCCATCGGGGAACTTCCGAACCGTTTGATCCCCCAAGCGGGAGGTTAGAAACCATGCACTGCATGATTATCTCGAGGACATGAATTCAAATTTCCGTTGTTCTGGAGGACTTAATTAGGCATTTCATAAGTATAGCCATAAGCAATATGTATACTAAAACATTATGCAATACCTTTCTTTGATAGTTCTAAAACAAAAACGGTGAAAAACCCATCATAGTTTTGCCGCATGGCGACTTTCATTATCGAAATTCATGAAGTGAAATCGATTTTGCATATCGCTTATCAAATTTTAATAAAAAAAGATTAATCCGAAATCAGGTATCTATAATACAAGTCATGTAGGTGTAAAATTAAGCGTCTAGCTATACCTCATAAATTGCGCCCGATTGTTACTCGTGCATTTTCATATTAACAATCATGCATTAACAATCAGGCATTTCAGCAAGCGAAAATACAGCAAGATACAACCTCGTCCTCGTTCCTAGGATATTCACCTTGCCACAAAACATAACTGGGTTGTAGTTCTATAAGATAACAGACACCTTTCGAATTTGCTTCAGTGCACAAACAATAGCTTGGAAACGAGGCGGGCAGGAAAGGAAGTAACTCCCCCCTGATTCCGCTGTGCCACCAATATAAAAAGACAATAAAATAATGTGCAAACATTCAGTTTTCATTTCAACAGTTTCACTGTCAAACATTTGTACTGATATTTATGAAATAATTGATTCTCAGTTTACATTCCAAACAATGAAAACCAATATTTAGACGAGTTAGAGCCTTTTTGATGATCCCACTAAGCCTAACTGGGACGAATCGTTTCTCGATATTCCGCTCAAAAAAATTCTACGGAATGAATTTTATGATCTCGCTTTCATTTCGATCAAGAAGATCCTACTATTTCTGGTTAGGACCTCGCTTTGTCAGGGCGAGAATTCCCCATGCAAAAACAGTATCATGGCCAGGTCGGATAGGCTGCATGCAGATGTAACAAACAACCATTCCGAACGCGCTTATATTTCTCTTTCTAGAGAAACATTGGAAATAGCTCCATTCAACGTAGTGGAACTGTTCGCAACTGTGCTATGACATAGCCATAGTCTACAGAGTTTATCTTCAAAATTAACCGAATGCAGCTCGGATTTAAATGATAGGACTCAGTCAAAAAGCGAAATAAAATAACAACAGAAGAGATAAAACAAAAATTTCAACCGGGTTTACAGATCATGTCAAGATCGACTATGGCGTAAGAAGGCATCACACATACTGGCTTTATACGTTTTTAATGAAGAATTTATTTGTTTTTGTTTGACACTAATTTTGTTTACCAGAAGTCTGTAACAGGCTCCAAGTTCCTAACGCGTTTACAACATTTATTAGCTAAGCAAGTTACTGAGCATGCGTACAGTGCAGTCAAGTCTAGAAATCAACGTAAAGTTTTCAGTAAATATGAAATTAATGGGTGTCTGTAGCGATTTTCTTATCCGCGTGTAGAAGGTTTACACGGTTGCTTAGTTGTCTCACACGAAGCCTGCTCCATACGATATGATCAGACATGGCAAGAGCCTGAGCAGCAGCGAGGGCGGCGCCTTCCGGGCTGATGACAGTCGGGCAGCCTAAACCAGACGGCAGTCGCATGGACGACCAAATATCCTGAGGACCCCAATCAGCTTTTACGGGAGGACAATTTATAACAGGATAAGCGGTGTTGCCAGAGAAGACTGGACCTAAACCATTACTGCGTCCGGCGACAGCTATGAATACCGTGGGAATGTTGTGGCCTTCGTAGTAATGCAAGATGCGTAGAGCCGTCTCGGTTCCCTTGTGCGCGGACGCCACACGGAGTTCGACGAAAACACCAAGATCTTTGAGGCACGCTTCAATCTTTTTACAATGATCATGGTCGCTCGACGAACCCATTACAACCACAACACGGCCCCGACGCTTCCCAGGCAATAGATTACGACATTGTTCTGCGACCCACTTGTAGTTCTTCTTGACGACAGCCAAGCCTTCGCCGGTTACTTCCTTCATTTCTCGGTAGACCTGTTTATCCCGCATCAGGCGTCGATCACCAGAGGGCCATAATCGCCACGCGTCGTTATCGACAACATCAGCAAGCAAAATCTCCCCGGTTCTAGCATTTACGCCAAACTCAACTTTCATGTCAACCAAGGTGCAGTCGACTGTCGCCCAAGCCTTTTCCAGGATTTCAAAAACAACAATAGCAGTTGACGTCATCAGTTCTATTTCGCGTTCTCCAATCGTAACACCGGCATATTTTAACTCCGCCTCAATAATCTGCTCATGAGACCATTGTGGATCGTGATTCGCATCATCTTTGAAAAAGGTTTCCATTTTCGGAGGCGAAAATCGATAACCTTCTTTGACTCCAGGGTTACGCCTTAGGAACGATCCTGTTGCTAAGCGCCGGCTGACGACTTCCAGTGGGATCATCTCGCATCTCAGAGCAACGAAAGACGTTTCATCATGTCTTGAGATGAAATGGGTTTTCACGCCGCATGCGTTGAGCAATTCAAAAATTGTGCATGTGGTGTCGTTGCTGATTGCGCTCTTGCCTTCGATCTCGTGCATGCGCGCTCCATCTCCTGCGGTGATCTTGTCTTTAGATCGGAGCAAGACGTGGTCGCCGTTCGGAGACTGCGGTAACGCGAAGACTATTTTTGTCTTACCTTCGATTACTTTTTCACCAATGACTAACGGTGCTGAAAAAACAAATGAACAATAATAAATTTTATTATATGGCTTTTCAAAATCCTCTATTCTGTTGCTAATCTGATTGGTTGACGTCGAGCGGTCGGTAAAAACCCATATTAAAATCTGTCCATACTAAAAAGTCTCGGTCTGATATTTCACAGTACAGACCTCACGCTCGGTCATTAATCAGTTAATATCACACTAGTTAGATGGTACAGTGAATGCAGGTATGCAATTTTATAACTTTTAGCTGTGGCATTATCCTGTAACAGAAAAAAATACTTCTAGGTGTACGGCCTTTTTATAGTCTTTACGTCTTTCGATCTACGGTTCTTTGGACTTTACTGTTTAAACGCATACCCGACGAGTGCAGCGGCATTTTCTTTGGAAAATGAATACATTCTCTTTGGACACAGTTAATAGAATATACGTGGTTTGGATACTAGATAAAACTACAATACAACTCATTAACTATGTTGCGGCACATTTATGCAAAAAATTGTTCCTTTCTCATCACATGTCTATTGTATTTTGCACAGATAAACCAATAGCAATCTTATAATTAACATATTTTTCAATTCAAGGTTGATGAGCTTAGCAAGACGAATGCCATTGGTAAATTTGGCTAAAATACAATAGACACATGACGAGAAAGGCTGAACCATTTTTTGCATAAATCTGGACAATAACATAGTTAATGAGTTGTATTGTACTTTTATTTAGTCTCCAAACCATGAATATTCTATTAACTGTGCTTTGGAAAATGAATAAACATACAATTTTAGAACTTTGGTAACCAAGTGGTGTTCACCGCGATGGTGTATCACCCATAACTCACTATATTATTCCCAATAACGTAAAAACTAAAAGCAGTGGGGGGCAACAAGATCCTTCAGAGACCCCAATTATGCTTTCTTTCCAGAATTAGATCTGTAAACTGTTGCTACATATTTGCATTTTAATTATTGGTTAGATAGGAATAAAAAATTGACTTCAACCTTTTAAAAGAATGGGTAACTATGGCAGATACTTTTTGGTTGAGGAACAAAATACTACCTAACAAGCGTTTGTGTCAGTCATAAAGGAAAAGCTTGATTGAGAAATCAAAATAGACAAATACACTTCGTGAATAGCAATGCCTGCCATTTCATAATTTTGGTAGACCATGAAAAGCTCTCTTTCACTTTAAAATGCTATTAGCGATTCGATACAAATATCCATGAAGTGAATCAAACAAAAAAATTTTACCTAAATATTGATACTAAAGAACTAAAAATTGAAACTAACACTCTTAAGGGAATTAAGGGAGAATATATCACTCCATATACTGAGGTACAGTACTTTTCCACCGTTTGAAATATAATTCCTTTTAAGATAAATTGCAAATTAAATAAAGATATGATCAGAGAAGAGCCACCTCGGGAAGAAGAGCCATCAGGGGAAGAGCCACCTCGTGGATCTTATTGAATAAATCATTATTATTATTATCATTATTATTATTAAAATGTACACAACAAACTAACAAAGCGTGTAATAGAATGAATTGAACATCAAAACAGTGTTAAATTTACTTAGGGGTGCAGATGTGGATACCTACTAGGTACCCAACATGGAAATCCAGGAGTGGAAATTTGGGATTAGGAGCCTTATCTGCAACTTCGATAATCTCATCTTAATTTTGAATTTTTCCATGCAGCAAGCATAACATTATAAAATTTCGGATTAAAACATTTTATGCTAATAGCAAGGTGAAAATATTTTGAATCATGCATCTTTTGACAGAAAGAAATATATATACAGTGTATTGACTTTTTGACATTTCGAGTATTAGAATGCAAGATCCCCTGCTGTTTTATTTGATAAAATCACACATGCTAATTAAAAACATACAAATACATCAATGAACTATATAGCAACACAAATGGAATTTTGCATTCAAGTGGTTTTCAGGTTATGGCTATTTGCCAAATGTTCAGGAAACACTTAATGGCCCGCATGTGATCTGATTGTTCCAACTGTTGTAATATAAAATCTCCGATATTTTACAGAAACGTAACTCAGAATTAAAGCAATATACCTTCTATATCGACCGGGTATGCAGTAAAAATGGTATACAACCGATGAAAGCTTTTTAACAAAATGAAGATTGCGAATATCGACCGAGATATCGACCATGCTTGCTAAAGAAGCTTACCAACCACGTGCGGCCAAAATATAGGAAAAGAAACGTTTCGTTCGTGTTTTAAACACCTGGTAAAAGCATTGTAAAAGCAAATATTGTTAAGCTACCTTTTTCTTCGCCAGTAGTCATATTCGTAGCACAGGAAAGACCAAACTTTTCTTGCTTTGGATAGCAGTAGTTTTACAGGAATAAAAAAAATATTGTATAAGCTCGCCAAGTCGCCAAAGGCCAAGTATTTGCATCCGACCGCGCATCTAATTTCTGTTTTCTACCAATCACAGGAAAGGAGAATCTGTATAATACGCCGCTCATCCAATCAGAATGCTCGAACATCGCTGCGATAAGCACGCTTTTGAACAACAAACACGTGAGTTCTGGTAATTGACATTTAACTCGCATTTAACAACAGTTGGAAACGAGTGCGAATTTCATACGAATTTTTCAAGTTCCTGGCAATTTGATTAAGCGCTGTTTTTGTATAAGCTTTGTTATCAGACGAAATAAACGATACACAGGAGATGAAATAAATGACACTCAGGATTATCTACTTTAAACAAAAAAGCTCATCTATATTGATCATAGAAGAAAGTCGAGAATGGCGAATGTGGCGCATAAGAATAGTTATGAACTACAAGATTCCTGTGGTGTGTTTGGTTGTATCGCAGCAGAAGGCGTTGATTTAAAAGAGTTCGGCCTTGCCAATAATATTTTTCTTGGGTTATTGGGCATTCAACATCGGTAAGTGGTTGGGTTAAATATTCCGAAAGTTATTCATTGGAACAGTGTTGACTATTGCACAAAACAGCAATGTTCAGTGACATAGACTATTATTTGTTATACCGCTTTTGGAATATTTACCATTGACTGGTTTTACTCCACTGATAAGTACAATTTTCAGGTTTCGATTGAGTAAAATGAGTAAGTGCCTCGTGGCCTCGTTAGGCTCACTGCCAGTAAATAATAGATTGATGAAAGACACTGAGTGATAATTCTGTTAGTGGTAATTCCACTGCAGCAGCCATTAGAATGGACATTTTACATGTCATTTCATTTTTTGGAAGATGCCAATATAAGTGGCTGCTTTGGTCATTAGCAGGTTGCCTAATTTTTCATCCACTGCTGCCTAATTAACCTATACATCAAGCCAAATGGTGTCATAATTTAGATTCAGGATTAGAGCAAGATCAGGAAAAAAAAAATATAAAAAGAAAAAATATAAAAAGAAAATACAAAAAATATATAGAACAATTTAGAATTTACCTTTTTTGAAATGTGACAAACTGTCTGCATATCTCGCACATTATTGGTTCTCTATGGTTTTAAATGAATATGAGCTAGCTGCTAGCATCTGTGTCTAGAAAATTCCAACACATAGGCAACCACATTATTATAACCAGTAGAATACAGACCCGCATTATTATGAGCAGCACTGTTGTGCAAACCCAACATGACATTACCTTTAATTAAACCACCATGTTTTAAACTCATAAAAAAGTCCATGTGACTTAATTTCCAACTCTTTGCTGGATGTTAGTGCAATTTGTTGTACATTTCTATATTCTTCATGAAGACCAATTTAGTTCCCGATTCCATTTATAAACTATATGCTTATAATAGAGGTCAAGAAAGTGCTGGCATTGTAACTGGAGATGGTACTTCGATATATCAACACAAAGGCATGGGTCTAGTCTCAAATGTCTTCAAAGAAGAGGACATAAAATCACTCCAAGGTTACATGGGTATAGGACACAATCGTTACTCAACAATGGGTGCATCAAAACTTGTCAACTGCCAACCGTTTGTTGTTGATACTGCACAAAATTGGATTGCAGTTGCACATAATGGTGAGCTAGTGAATGCTAAGTCACTGAGACAGAAAGTTCTTGCTAGTAATGTTGGCTTGTCTACAAGATCTGACAGTGAATTGATCACCCAACTTCTCTCAATAATTCCACCATGTGGAGAGCCTCAAGGTACAGTAAGTTGCAATCATTGGTATACACAGTCAATGAAACAAATAACATCAATTTACTCAACTGTAGTGATTCATACTTCATAGTCATATTCGAGAATTGCATGAAAATTTTGCTGTTAGGAGTATTGTTCATACTTTCCCGCAATTACTGTCTGTTGCACTTGTTAGCTCGTCCACTATGTCAACTTTTTTCATTAAAAGGTGCAAACTGGCCGTCAAGGATAAAACGTTTAATGACTGAAACTCAATGCGCGTACGCCCTGGCGATTTTGACGAAAGACGGCATATTTGGGGTTCGAGATCCGTACGGAAATAGACCTCTATGCGTTGGAAGAATACTGAAATCGTCAGACGGTAGAGACGAATGCGCCGGATGGTTGATTTCATCAGAATCCTGCCCGTTTGCCTCGATCGGCGCCGAGAAGATGTACGATGTTGAACCTGGAGAAATCGTTCAGCTGACTAGGAAAGGTGTTACACGCCTTGAGATCGTTCAACCGTTGCGTCCAACTGACCCGACCGCGTTCTGCATTTTCGAGTATGTCTACTTCGCCCGAGCCGACACTTTCTTCGAAGGACAAATGGTGTACAACGTCCGACAGGAATGCGGAAGGCAGTTGGCGGACGAAGCCTCGGTAGACGCCGAGATCGTGAGCACAGTGCCTGAGTCCGCCACGCCAGCCGCGATGGGGTACGCCCAAAGGTCCGGAATCCCGTATGTCGAAGTACTCACGAGAAATCGTTACGTCGGAAGAACTTTCATTCAGCCGAGTACGCGCTTAAGAAAGCTAGGTGTTGCCAGGAAATTCGGCCCGCTCACAGCCAATTTTCGTGATAAACGAATCGTATTGATCGACGACTCGATCGTACGTGGAAACACCATAGCCCCAATAATAAAGGTCCTACGCGAAGCAGGTGCTGCAGAGGTAAGATTTCGTTCTTTCTCAGGTTTGAGTATCGACCCTTTGCAAAAGTAGTATATATATCTAGGCAATTAGTGCTCCCAGCTCACTTTTTATAACGAATAATGAATACGTCAAATAACACTGTTGAGAATAATTGGGAGAAATTAGGACTGAAAAGTGGCTCCCAATTGCATAGTCACCAATCTCTCTAGACGTCGATCCTCTTGCTCTACTCTCTGACCAAAAGATCTCTGAAAATTTAAAACGGTGAAAATTGCCGACCTGAATAATCTACTTACTTTGTACAACAACATAAAATGTTTGATTACTCTTACATTAATGACAGCATAAATATCCGTAAAGTTTGTTACTAGTAAAAAGTATTTTGCCTACCTGCTTCCGGATCTGTTTCCATAGGCATCGATGTTTTTTTATAGGCATCGTTTCCCTAAATTTTCCTCAGACATCTTATCTTCCCTGCTGCAGCTACCCCAATTTCAGTGCCACCTTTTCGTCATCGCGCTACAAGTATTCTTCGTGTAATTCTGGTCAACGAAATAGCTGGTCTTCCCAATGCATTTTATTGTCCAAATTTATTCCTAATTTTCCCCCATGGTTCTTCCACTCATCCCCGACAGGAGTTAACCATCATAATTGTCTCATGTTTAAAGGTTCACATTCGCGTCGCTTCGCCACCTCTAAAGCACCCATGTTACATGGGCATCAACATCCCGACGCGAGAGGAGCTCATTGCAAATCTTATGTCGCCTGATGAACTTGCGAAGTTTCTGGGAGCCGATAGTCTTGTTTATCTTTCTGTTGATGGCCTCCACTCTGCCGTGCGAAAATCCATTCAGACGACATCAAACAAGCCTCCGGGCCATTGTACAGCCTGTTTAACCGGGAACTACCCTGTGGAATTAGAGTGGTGATGGAATTGGATGAACTCGAACAATACATTAATCTATATAGTATTTATTAGTATTTATCATTATATATCAGTCTAGTTGTGTGTACTTAATCTTCATTAAATGAGTTACTTTTTTAATTTTGATGTAGAATTTTGATATACAGCAGTAAACCGGCATGCAGGAATAATCCCACAATTACTACATTGAGCAAATGCAATGTCATATACAGGTGTCCAAAAAACCTCTAAAACTTTTGAAATCACCGGCATAACAATGTAATATATATAGTTAGTTTTCAATGCCTAAGCACCTAGTTGGGACCCACAAGACTAGTGTATAAATATTTAACATAAGCATGCCTTTTTATGCATGATGACAGTGAAATTTGTTTTATATTCACAAGTTACACTTTACAAAAAAAGGATAACAATATTTAAATTTAAAACTCAAGCACTGTGACCTTCAACATGTCCCTCTTCTCTAGCAAATTTCAAATTTTAGCATTTTATATAAGTTGTGTCAATTTCCACAGGTGAAATTCGCGAACAGTCAATTTTTTAAGATATATATATATATAAGCGTTCTGGTATAGACACTGCAAAATCAGCACAGGCTAGCTTAAAACGACTGCATGCTATCTTTAAAAGGAGAGTGGGGGAACCAATTTGCATCCTCATTTCAGCAACATTAATATTTTATTAAATATATGTACACAAATATATGAGTGCACAAGATAATGCGTGCACTCGTTAGGTTTTGATCGCCGTGTAGACAGGGTTGGCAACATTATTTCAAGGGTATGCGTAGTATGCATAAAGGCGGTAGTATAGCTACATAAAATCATAGTGATAAAATAAAACGCACTATTAAGTCTATTATTGCTCTTTTTCTTAACTTGCATGATGTTACTGATGATACGTGCCGCTCGGAGGTTAGCACGAGGAAGAAGTTGAATGAGCTCCTGAACGCCAATAAGATTATCACAAATAGTCACATGTGAATCATGCAATCTCGTTTTATTTCGATTTGGTAAAATTTAGATTGGATTGTAAAATTTTAACTCGTTACAGCTGTTAGGGTCACCCTGGGGATAGAGACACCCTTGTTTGCGAAAGCGGGTAACACTGGTGTATGAACAGCTTTTACCATGTATAAGCACTTTGTCTTAGCCTCCATGCAGGGTTAACTTCCACCGGCGCGTGCGTAATAGCGATTTATCAAAAAGACGCTGTCGCTTTCTTTTTGCTTGCAATTTTATCATAAAAACGCTTGCTTGAAAATGATAAGTTTAAAAATAAAAATATAGGTATGTCTAGCTTTTTCCGTCGCGAAGGATTAGAGAAATATAGTAATTAATATATCCCCCAACCCACATTTGCCGCCTCCATACTCCAGTTCGTATCCCTCGCGAATATTCTTACGAGCGTGGAAAACATCTGGCACACGGGGTGACATTTGACACGAACGTCTGACTGTTTCTTCGGTTTAGATCACTTGCAGAATTGCATGTAAAACTAATGTACAAAAATTAAGGAATGCCCCACACTGTTCAACTTTTTTCAAATTTTAGAACTAAGATATTTTTAACCGGATTAAGCCGAGGTCACTTGTTATGGCGTTGCCACAGCGTCTTGGCAATAACATGTCTCATAAGTGATCAGTTACAATACACAACAACCCGCTAAAGACAAACGATAATCTCAAGTCGCACTTGAAGGTAAATTTTTGGCACTTTCTCGGCCATAATTTGTTTCAGCAGAAGGTCTCTAAGAACAAGGAACATAAATATTTTCTTATTTAATTTTCAGTAGCATTTACAACGATATTTTAGTCAACTCTCCTGACGACGGCCGTTTAGGTTGAAAGTTGAAACGTCGAAAAACGTTAACGGTTGTTATAATTTGTAAGGGTATTTTTACATGGTGCCCGAAAGTCTGTGTAATGTTTACTGCACATGCACCATCATGCAAGTATAAATCCATGCACTAATCCCAAATGCTGCAGTATTCTTAAATATTACAACTTACAAGTTTTAGGAATGAATAACGAGTAATGACTAATGAGTCTTCGAGGTGATACTAATGAGATTCTTTTGAAATGACCGGATACAATCTGGTGTCCTGTTAGAACGCGGCGTCGGACCATGGTCAAAATTTGTTATTTTCAAAAGCTACTGCATATGGACGTGCTTCGGTAAACGTTCGGCTGAGATTACTGGCCTCAGGCAGTGCGCAATGCAACAGTACAATGACGTCTACCAGTGTCATCAACAGCAACCCGTGACCCAGGCTACGTAAGAATTGACGTAAACCATGGGTGTTTGGTCGAGTGACCCAATTGTTTTGTCGAGTCATCGCAATATAATCCATCGGATTTCGTTGACGACAATTGTAAAACAATTGTATCTCTCGCGAAAAAAACCCCATTTGTATCAGCATCGAAAAACATGTTTATTACAACAATGGCAGTCGTTTAAAAGTTTAACTATATATAAGTATGAGATACTACAGGGTACTTCGTCATTCAGATACCAGTATGTATTTATTCTCCTCTATTGGGAAGAACTATCAAATGGGAACTTGAATTAAGGCCAAATCAGTAGGCTTGATCACGCGTAATGTAGCGTGGTTATTTGTTCAAATACGTCATTGTTGATAGGCTGGCAAAGGTTTATCTTGCACATGACTGATTCATGCTTGATTTCAAGCGATATTTGCGGTGCGTTGGCATCTGGAAATGCTCTGAACAAACATCGTATCAAACCATTTTTTGACTTTTAGAGCGAGGTAGTATAATTTAGGGCAAAAGCTTGCATTGCAACTTAAATTCATAACAAGTCAAGTATAATATATTGTACAATATATTGTGCCCTGTATAACGTCGTACCCAGGGTTTTATTACCTATATATACGCTCCGCGGCAATATATGCACGCAGTTTTCCCTTTGACTCTGTTGTTTTCTCTAGATTTTCAGCGTGCAAGCATCCATTAAGGCACACTAAAAGAATTTCGATGAAAAAGTATTTTTTATGTAATTTGGTATGTTGAACGTTTTTAATATACGTTTCAAAACAACTCGGGAGCAACGTGGTATTTCGGTGCTCAAAACGTCGAAATTTCAGTTTAACTTTGTTTATTCCATGAGCATGATGTTGCATAAACCAGTACTATTTTAAAGTTATTGAGCAGAGTAGCATTATTAAACGTCTCTCATCTTCCTAAGCAGTGACTCATTTCGCACTCCTAATATGCATAACGCCCTGACAACAGCTTTCGGTTAAGAAAGATTTTTTAACTTGCTTCTTTGTGTTCCGATTATTTTGACAGATGCGTTGGTGTCCCTTCACAAACTGAAAGACGCAGGGATTCAGAGGAAACGGGAGTGTAGGGCGTTGGTGGCAAATAAAAATAAATGTAAATTCCAGTGTTTTTTGTTTCAATTTCATTGCCCGGAATGAAATCAAAGTGCCGTGAAGTATTCTTGCCCACGTTAATACCGGCTTGGCCCGATATTCATCCTTCAAGCACGACGCGAATATTCTACGCGCAACGCCCGACGTTTTACTGATTTATTGATATCATGCGGGCATTGGGTATTTGACCGGGCAAATTGCAACAAAGTCCCATCTAAACTTTTGGCATCTCGGGGAAAGATGATATATAATATAGGAACCATGAAAAAACACGTTGTGTAGTCTCTAGTATATTTATATACTTTAAACATATATTTTTCTGTTTCCTCATCCTTGTTACAATATCAATAGATATATGTACAAAATATAATTATATAAACAACCTATTCAATTCACCATTTTCAATAGAAAACAATATAGTCGATCAGTTCTCATGACGCTTGTTCAAATACACGCAGCACACGACCTGATACGAATTTCATAAATATATGCAACCATTCAATACAATATCGTTAAATAATCAGCTCTCTCACATAAAATACACACTACATACAATACACCACGGTGATTTATCTGACAAATATCATCCTTATTCCGCGTAATTTCCGACCGTCGAAAGTTTTTTTCATACGTGATACATCACCAGTCACTCGGCTAAATAAACTACATTGATTGAGGCAATGGAATCATTAGAGGCAAGCCGTCGGTATTTACGAAAAGCTGTTACACGGACTTAGTCAAAATATCTTTGTGTGCAGAAGATTTGTCAGATAAACGACCTTTCACGGGATGGACTATTTGATTTTCGATTGGAGTGGCGGGAATTTGCCTGAATATTTTAACCGTTTTTCGCATGAACTTCCAGTTGAAAGAAATTTGAAATAAACTGCCTGATAACTTTTTGAGGTACTACCCCCCTTCCTCTAAACGATAATCAAATAGCCCATCCCTAACTGCATTGCTCCAACACATATACTCCCTCGATTATAGGGAGATCAGCGTGTAATCATCGTTCGTTTCCGATGGCGGATACTCAATGTCGTCGCTGTCAATTCGTTCAATTGTTCTATGTATTGAATACGGAGATATCTTCTTGGCCACACGTTTGTGCGAGAGTGACTTCAAAGCAGGTTGATAAGCGTGCCTTTGGATGTGAAGGTTTTGAAACTCCAACGAGAGCGGATTAGAATCTGGATTAGAATCCGCTAACTCGGTTTCGACCTTCTGCACGGTTTTGGAATATTGCTTTTCTAGTTCCTCCTGCATTTCCGTGTACTTTTCCTTGTACACGGTGTGCAAACGCTGCTGCTCGTTCATCTGTGCCGGAGTAAGCGACGTTCGATAAAGTTCTTGAAGTTTTTGGTGTTCCTCTTGAATGAGTCGTAACGGCGAAGAAGAGCAGTATGCGCGCGTTTGCTGGAAGTCACAGTGTGGATTATTGCCTTCGGAAAAGCGACGCGAGGCTGCCGTGTTCTGTCCCCTCACTAACTCTTCGATGTTCGCCGAATGGAAGCCGCTGTCCGACGAGGGAAAGTCGACGCGGTCGCAGGGTGACACCACTATCGAAGGATTTGGATCAATCTGATACATGGTGTTATTCGTGTTCGACAAACCCCCTGCAAGCAGAGGGTGGTCCGACGGTACGCTAATTGTTCCTTGTGGGGGTACACCCACAGTATGCCGTCGTTTTCGCCCTGTGGCAGGGGCGTTACTCACGTTCGGCACTGCATTACCCCCATGTACACCACCGCGATCAAGTTCGACGTTTTCTTGTATCGTTTGTGGTACGGTGTGGGTAACGCGTCGGACAGGGGGTGTCCGGCTGTTAATGTTCATCAACTGCCGACAGAGACCAGGAATCTCGTGTCTAATATCCGGCGGCGTTGGAACCCGTTCTTCCAGTCCGCTGCCAAACTCCATGGGGTTTACTGGTACAGAGCTCCTAGGCCGCCTTGCAACTGAGACAGCTTGTGGCATTGCAGGTGCTGTCGAGCAGGTGAATGTCGATCGGACAATGGCAGTATGCGCCACGCTACTAGGCCGTCGTATCTGCGTCTGGACTTCATCCGGTTCAGGGCAGCTCGAACGATGCTGCTTTAGCTTGTCAACAATTAGATAATAAATAGCAGCGTGGTGGTCATAAACCCTGGTGTTGATTGCCTGAAGACAAAGAACAGACAACGTTGAGAATTATTTATATTATTCACAAGAATTCAAAACTTTAAGATGTAGCTAATGACGAGCTTGAGTGTTTCAAATAGATTCACTACCTTGACCCAAGTGCATGCTTAGCCTAATAATAAATACACTAGGCAATGCATTGTCTAATTTAAGAGCTACCAGCTTGTTTCCCATTGTGTAAAATAGCAGTGACTAGAGCAATATAGCAATTACCTTTTTTGTCGTGGGTATATCAATGCCCAAGTTTTCCATTAGTCTTAATGCACGTTCATTGTACACTCTTTCATCGTCCTCCAGATCCTCAGGTTCACTATCAGTCTCACTGTTCAAATCACAGTTCATGTTCAGCGTGACTTGCACAGAGGGGTCCATACGTAGCCACTCGTGATTGCGGATTTGTTCGATTGTGTACCGCTGTTTGGGATCTTGAACAAGCATGTGTTTGATGAGGTTTTCACATTCTATAAGATGTAAACAAGGATGTTTAACAACTGCCTCCATATAATATAATTGTTTTTGTACCTAGAAATAACTCGGGACATTCTAAGTGCTCAACTGAAATAAAATCCCAAACGTACTCAAAATTGTGTGTGTATGTGCATATCTTATCAATATTTTGAAAACAAAACATACCATGTGACATAAAATATGGGACTCTAAAATTGCCCTCCAGCACACGATCCCGTAAATCTTGAAGATTTTTGCCATCAAAAGGCAATGCACCACTGACTAATACATATAATACAACACCAAGGCTCTGAAAATGAAAAAATACACATATTATTAAGAGAGAAAAAACAATATTAACCAGCATTTAAAATTTGGTATGGTATTTGGCATTTATACTCACCCAAATATCAAGCTGTGGACCATCGTAGACTTTGCCTTCAAAAACCTCTGGGGCAGCATATGGTGGACTTCCACACCAGGTATTGAGCATGCTACCAGGTGAGTAATGGTTACTGAAACCAAAATCTAAAAAAAAATGTAATTACGCTTAGATTTCAAGTTGTTTTGCTGCCATGAAGAGGAGACAAAAAAAAATTATCATTAGGTATGATAATATTGTTAAATTTGAACCTTGCCATTACCTGCTATTTTGATATTATTCTTTGAATCCAATAACAAATTCTCAGTCTAGAGAAATGTAAGAATGAAATTTAAGTCAAATATTGCTAATTTTACTTCACAAAATCAACAACATGAAAAGGATATCAGAGAAGGTTTATAAATCAGACATTTCTGTTTTTTATCAAGTTATTAGACTATCATGAGCTTAAGTGTGTTTACTTGTGAGTGGCTAAGGACACGACACAGTTACTGAGGACATCATGTACACTACTAAATATTTACTATTTAATAATGTTCTCAATTAATGTACTGTACCTTCAAGTCACGATGAACCACATGCCTCTTGTGGCAATATTCAACAGCAGAGAGAATCTGTGCAAATGTTTTTCTGGCATCACGTTCTGGCATTCGCCCATTCTTGGCAAGGTTTTCTAAAACGGAACCAAAATGATATATCCATAAGAAAACCGGTTTATCCCAAATGTATAATTACAATATTATTGTAAATGTAATATAAATTTAGGCAGCACAATGTGCCATATTTCACAACAACTACTATATTGACTTTGTGCCACACAAGATCAAGAGAAAAAGTTGACCACTGCTGGTTAGCCAGCCTATCTGCAAGTTTTTTATTGACCCATAAAGCCACAATGTGTCTTACATTTAATAGTATGTCTCAGTCTGATGCCGAATCACTTTGCACATGATCTTATATTTTGAAGGGGAAATGTTTTGTTGTAAATGAGTTAAAATACATAGACATTATAATCTTTGTTTGGCATTTGCTGGGATGTACAAATGCTGAATGTACAAATGTTTAATACAATAAAAATAAATCCAAATATTGGAATAGAGTGTAAATCATTGGACAGAATATTCTATTATTCAGTGAGTACCAGCGATGTGTGAATATGTTTAATACATCCAGCTATGTAAAAGGTGAAAAATGACTGTGTTGTGGACATTACTCATCATCTAAATTTAATAAGTGCACGAACCGGATACATAGGTGAACTGATGTGGCTTTTTGCACGAAGTTATGCCTTAATTTCTCGATCGCTACGCCATAAAATAAACATGTGCCCATTTATCCCTGCCCTTGGTATCATGTTATCCGATAAAAGCCACGAAAAACAACATTTTTATAGCGCTTAACTTTCGCTTGCTATCAAACTACAAACAGGATGAACGAGTAGGTAATATCCGCTTAATTAAAATTCATCTCAGAATATTCTAGCACAAAATATGTCTATGCAAAGATTCGTCACGTAGAGGTGTTGCTTGGCCTTTTTCGTATCTTGCAGCATTCATCTGCCTACATAGTTGACACAGCTCTAACAGAATGCGTACATGGCATTGAAATGCGTAGTGTATGGACTATACATTTGAAATAATATGAAAAAATCTGTACTCCCTTCAGGCGAAGGGAGCAGATATCAGATAACTGTAGGTTGTTGTAAGTGGTCATACATTTGAAAATGAATATGTATCAATACATATCTTCGGATCGGTTGTGATTCGTGCGCCCATTCCCAGCAGTTAAACGATAAAACCATTCACAAAAGCAAACTATGGTCACGAATTTAATACTTAAACTGACAGTGCTTTCATTTTGCTATCGTGTTGTCACGCGAAGCCGGTGACCACGCGTAGCATTATAACAAAGATCTAAAATCATCTTGAACATTCGACAGTTTCAAACCCCTGCCTGTACATAGTTGATTTGCGTCAAAATGAAATTAAAATAAATTTGAAATTTTGCTTTTGGCAAAAGTGAAAGGAGACGCAAAAACACTAAAACAGCAGGTTTGACCAGGTCGTTCTGTGTGCAATTTATAGAATCATAGAATATAACTCACCGAACATTTCGCCGTTACTCGCATATTCAGTAACCAAATAGAGCATAGTCTTCGTCTCCATAACCTAGGACGCATTTAAGATTGTTACACATACTGTTTAGAATTCTAAAATGTTACAAATTGTCGATTCGAAGAAAGAATTTAATACATAATATAAAATCACGATAAATGTAACAGTGCAAGGAATATAACCGGCAAAATATCAACGGAGGTATTTCGGTTTGACTACATGATTATACTCAGTCACAGTCTAAACGAACCTGATATAACTTGACAACGTGGGGATGATGTAAGAGCTTCATGATTTGTACTTCGCGGTAAACCTTTTTTAGGTTGGCTTCGTCGAGCAAAGTCTTGTCTATGATTTTAATCGCTACCTGTTGAAGTAGACAACACAAAAGAGTGTTATTCTAAAGTGTATGCCATATACCGAGGAAGATTTAATTCAAAGAACCTCAGCAGTGATGACATTGAACACCAAGGGACGAAATATAGAAACAATAGCGATACGAACCTGACTTTTGGTAGTACGATGTTGTGCTAATTTCACTACGGCGAAATTACCCTTTCCAATAGTTTTTTCGATATCGTACATTCCTACCCGAAGTGGGTTTTTTCTCATTTCGTTCGCCATTCCCATTTCCAGTCTTGCATACAAGTTTCTATTTTTGTGATGGAAAGAGAACAGAACTCTGTGAGCTTTTAGCGCGAGTTACTGCTCTCAGTGATATCTATCGAGTCCTCAAACATCAGACATGGTTTTGTTTCAAAGCAGAATGGATTTACGTCATTTGACGTCAAAGGCGCTAAGTATGGCTGGTTGTCATGGCAAGATTGACAGCTCCGTGTATCTTTACCCACCTCTGACGTAACCAAGCCGAAAATGTGACGAAGTCTTGTTCAGGGAAGAGTCGAATGCTGACCGCTTTACGAACGGGAAAACCTTATATCTTCCTACAAAATACCTCACGTAACGCAACTGCGTGTCTGTCCTACACGTGCGTTGACACCGCATTTCAGCGACGCTTTTTCTTCAGCTATCTGATGTCGCAGACAGCGGGGCAAACAAAGGAGGCAAGCATTATTAGTCACGAGTTAGCGTGTTTAATTTGGCAGACGTTCCTCATTTAAACAATTTAATCATGAATGTAAGCAATATACATGCAGTAAACAAAATACAGAGAGATGCAGAGCTTTATATTACACTGCTGCTTCAACAATTTCCTCGTTATTAAAGAACCATTTCAAATCGCGCTTGCCTTTGTTCTTGCAAATGCAACACGACTTTGCCTTTGGACCATGTCCATAATAAATTTCCGTGCACTTCATCCTCATCATCTCGCTTAATCTGCACTAATTTCATACTGTCTTTATGCGAACAGACAGGCATTCGCGAAAACAATATTTACCAGACCTCATTTCGGATTTGGAAACGCGGCTAGCCAGAAAATTTCCGGCAGCGACTTTAGGGGAGGGGGAATTTGCCACAACGCACTGTCTGGCAAAAATTTGAAAGCGAGCAATTTAAATACCGAGGTTTGCTACCGCAAATATTTTTGGTTTGCATTAAATTGGAGGATTGTTTGGGGGAATGACGGGTGTTCGGTATTCAAGAGTGCTGTAACCTGCGTACGTAATTTAATTGAGCAATGAAACCCTGTTGTTTTATCGAATTTCTGGAAACGCGTCACAACCGTGGCCATATGATAATAAACACGTAAGATAATAAACATGGCCTAAAATGATGAATAATACGAAATTTATGTCATCCTGAGTTAGGTCTGCATCAAAAAATACAGCATGCAAATCAGATGTTTACAGATGAGACGTGGGCAGTACACCGGACGATAAGTACAAGTAAGAGCATTTTGAATGAGAATATAGTGAAGTACATTCGCTTATACAAATTGCGTAGTGTGTTTCATAACATCTCCTTTCGATTCCGCGCTGCTATATAATATTCCACTCACTTTACGCTTCTCCGTTGTGTGCTATAATCAGCTAGGCTATAATTTTATTCTGATTGAGAACCATTTCATCCAGAGCGCAACTGAAATGCTTGACACACGCGGGAGCCCAAATCAGTGCCAAATTCGAGCTAAGCTACGATAGCAATTCGGTTCGAGAAGACGGTACTACGTTTTAAAAAAGATGCCAATACTATATAGCATTTTGGAAATGCTGTCGGTAAAATTTATGCCCTGCGCTCTTGCATGAATGCCTAGTATATATATTCTCATGGAAGTCATGCTTCTTGAAAAATTTCACGACCTTTCAAAACCTTACATCGTGGGCATCGCAGCATTACCATTAGTAGTATAAACCAACTAAACCAACTTAAATTATCACCAACGAACAAAATTCGTCTGGGTATTTAAGCGGCACATATAAGGTTCGCTTTATCGCAGGCACGAGCAACCACAGATCCCAAACCCGATTATGTAACTGTTTGATACAGAGATTATATAATACCTTTCCGGAAAAAACTCCCGTTGAAAAAATTTAACTAAATGAGTGACGCGAAAAATCGTCACTATATATATTGAGCTGGTTATATACGAACCGCAGAACAAGCTCTGTTTTATTCGTTCACGGCAACTTGAACAAGTCTCAAAATCACTGGTTCAATTCAACCCAGGTCCGTGCATGCGCACTTGTTCAAAATCAAGGGTACTCAATTTTGAACTTGTTAACGGAAAAAATTGTCAGAGTACAAGTTTGCTTACACGCTTGTGCACATGAATAGAGCAAACCTGCATGTCAAAGTGACGTACAAAATCCGAGTTGTTTCACAGTTGTATAACAAATTAAATCCCAAACGCATGTGAAAGAAAACTTGTCAAAGCCATCAAACTGTACTATTTCGGCCAGCAGACTATCATTGACAATACAGAAATTGTTAAAACAATGCAGAGCTGCTATATTGCATTAAACTTTGAAACACCTACAAGTCACAACAGGTATGCAGTGATCTGTTTGAAACTGAATCCGACGGGCGAAATAACTCGTCAAAAGACTGTTTTAAAAAATGAGGTGTCCGTGATAGCTAATTGGCAGAAAAGAATTGCGAAACACAAATTGACATGGGAGTCAGTTTTTATATTTGTTTACAGTCAGCTTCATTATGAATTTATCATAGAAAATAACATGAAAGGGTGCAAATATACAAATGACAGCACAGCATGATTGTGCAACGCACTGCCCAGAAAATGATAAGGTCGGCGTCTATACAACCTAAGGCTAAACATGTTTGACTTTATAGATTTGAAAATTACAGTAAACAACAATTTGTTATAACATTTGTGACACTCATCAGTCATCAAAGCCTAAAGAACTTGTTATGATATTTTGATTACCTATGTTTTGTGAAATGTTGGACCCACTGCTGCATGTATATTGTGCATCTAAGACAATGCTGAGTCCACATCGGGTCACGATACATTCTAATTCCTTGTTCAAACAAGACACAGTGCTTGAACGCGGCGTGCTAATTTTAGCTCTTGGAGGGTGGCTTAATAAAATCAATCTGACATGTGAAGAGTCAAAATGATGGTCATGACGTCATCCTGTCAACGCAGCTGGGGGTAAGAGATTTCGTATATGATCGAAAGTAGAAAAGGACTTAAAGGAGTATAATGAAAGTGTTTTTTCGGATATGCAACGTGACATATTCTACATATGCATTCACTGTGCGAGGAAACCCGCGACTGCCAAGAAAACCAGACTGCCAATCAAGCACTTTACATATCCGCCAACACGAGCCCACACAGCCGCAAGCAAATGAAATATGGTCACGTTTCGCAATCCAGATTCCCACCATGCAGGGCAGTCAGTGCATGCCGGTTTACAATTTACATAAAACTTATTCTCTGAAAATACGAGATTCTCGGATGATTTGACCAGAGCTTATCAGACTTGCCACAAATTTCTGCTGCGAACACACTCCGGCTATTTGACAGTTTCCAGATATGTTCAACAATACAACATGTTCCTGGTGAACGAAACGTGATTTGATTCTTTGGCAAAAAATGGCGCCGCTCATTGACAAATTGAAGACAACTTCTTGGTTTCGTCTTTCAAATTTTTTATCCACAAAATATTATTTATTACTTACATTATTTGCCGAAGAAAATTTGTTATGAAAAAGTCTGCGGTTCCGAACAATTTATGTATTGTCTGGGTAGCTGTTATGCTCGCGTGGGAACCAAACTAAATTGTCCTCATAGCTACATAAGCCTTTCTGTTTAATTGCTCGAAAGCTGTTCATCACCCTTATAGTCCTTCTATGAAAGCAATTAATTACTGCACGCTGAGGGTCGATGTGACACCCACCAGACATAACACGAGATGGTTAGATTAACAATCAATTAGAGCAGGAGAGATCAATTTACGGAGCATTAATAATTGAAGATATAAGATGCACATGACAATTTTACTTCGAAAAATCCGATAACTTTGTATACAAACATGTTCTGGTTTCGACTATACTGTACTTGTAGTGGCGTTCTAGCTACATACTTTATTGTACATATTTCACTATGCAGCGACTTAATTTTTTCTTGGAATTTAACAATTAAATTACTTCCATAAATCCAGCAATCGTTGCCAATATAACCGCGCGAGGGACTCATTGCATAACATTTCAATATCTTTATGCGGTTGGCTATGCATTCCCGTTCAATATGAGATGTCACAGAGTGCATTTTGCAACTTAAGCTGGTATAGGTATAAATTACACGTTTTCTCGTATCTCAGTAGTAATAAGTACATACAAAGCAATTATATTTTTATGTATGCATGCAAAAGTGGCCTTACCTTTGGGTGTTCCGAAGACAAAGTAGATATAATTCTTCCTTCAGATACCATCTTTTGCTTCGATTTCTGCTGTTAAGCCTGCCGGTGTTTACGTCGACACCAAACCCTATTCTTTGTATCATTTGTCGTACGTAGTTGCAGCGTGTGTAGACTGCTCATAAGATATTTTCTCCGTCAATCCCAACTACACCGAACAGGAAAATTATGTTGACAGGTCGTAAAATAAAATCATACCAGACTTTGAGGGTTTGAAAATTAGTGAGGGCCTAATTGCAACGCCCTCGCGAACACGTTGTGTTGTTATATTGGGCGGTGTATCATACTCTTTGATATTCAAAACACGCCAGGTCACGTTCCAGTACATGTTTACGTGCGCAGATAGCCTATATGTAATACGAACTGTATCAGGTACAAAGGACGCCCACATACACATGAAAATTATAATAAAACAATTTTTTTAAATCAATGAAAGCTTACTTACCATTATTTCATAATTGCTGCATGTGAGCCTGTTATTTACTCGGATGTGACTGAATAGTTCGCGAATGTAAATTTCTCTGATTTTGTATATTCAGATCGGTCATTGTTGATTCCCTCGATAGTGGGAATATTCTGTTAGCTTGGCTGAGCAACTGACAACGAAGCAACACGACCAAACATCGATACGGCCGAGCCCGAGGATACGGTACTTGTCGAACGACATTTGAAGACTTGTTTTTTAAAGAACTCCCACGTTACCCTTTCAGTCATGTCTGTTGCGCATAAGCCATCTTCAAGGATTTGAAATCTGTTTTCTAACTCGTCTCTTGGGCGTGCTGTACGCAAATCAATCTCTAGCAGTTATCCCTTTGGTCTCCATCCCTCATATACCAATTTGATGCATTCACGACAGTTATATTAATTGGAAACTAAAAAGTGAGGCAAGCAGGTCACAGGTGACCTCGTTGTCATGTATATTGTATGATTAGAGCTATATGGTAATATGGTATGAAAAAGCCAAATATACGAACACGGTGAACAACTTACGATCATCTCGTAGCTAGCTATTTAATTTAGCCTGGGCACGGATGAAATAGGCACGGTACCCATTTAGTGTACCAAAAAATTGAGTGTAGTGTAAACGAAAGTTAAATTCACTTCAGTTAAGATTTGCATGTTTCAAAGACCTAAATTATTTATGCAAATCAATCTCGCTTTACAACAAACGCTAATATACATCACTCAGCTTGATGCGTAACAAAATCACATAGCGATCAGCTTCAAAATCACTTCGATCAGATACAATCAACTCAACTTACTCAAGTTAAGATTTGATATCGACAACGACATGTTATCAGTCCCATCACTGACGATAGTTAATATGCAGCGCGTCACGACGAGAAAAGAAAACAATACTCCGCATCACGTATTCGGGCTATCGTAACGAGTGGGAGTTAAACTTGAGTTGCCAAACTTAAAGGCGCTTTGATTCCTTAAAAAAACATATATGCACAAGACCATGTGACTTTCTAATGGCCTTCGTGCAAAATAGAGCCGAAAAAGTTGAGTTATGACTTATGAGGGCTTGTGTTCGCGAACATGGCAAACAGAACAAAATGAAAGCCTTTTTACTCTTAACTCTTGAGCAGGGCTCCGTTGTTAGCAAAGTTCAATGCACATAAAGGTTTATATTTTGGAACTAAATAAAGAAATCAAAGGTACACCTTACGTATATGGGTATAGGCGTAAGTATAAACAAATACAGGGACCGCGGAGCAGGGTGGCTCGCTGGGCTTTAGCCCCACCAATAATTTTTCCGTAATTAGTCTTTAATTTCGAATATTTTTTAGTTCGCTCCAATTTACAAGCAATATTTTTAGCAATTTGTATTTTTTGCTTACAAGTATATGCAGTGTATCTTATGTTGAATGTTATTGTAACTTTTACTTCTTCAACGTATATTTTAATAACCAATTCAAAGAAATGAGTATTCTAATTTCCAACGATATTTGTCGTAATAAATCCGCCATGTTTACAAATGGATTGAAATTCAGTAGTTATGTTCAGTACATATGTTTGGCCAAAATAAAAAAAAAACAGAGACAGAAACGACAAGCACTTGACCATTAAAACAGCGTGGTTATCCATGTCAAAATATTTGACATAACCAAAGCATGCATGGTTATATTGTTTCATGTTTGTATATGTGCACCAAACATGCTGGAAAATTTACAAAGTATCTACTATTTCCCAATAATCCTTAAATCGAGAGGCATTGCGGCCATTTCAGAGGCCTATGTAAATTTCAAAATTTTCTCCGACTCTCCTAGCAGGTGCGCGGTTCCGAGCCCCTGCAATACGAAAAACGCTCCGTGGTCCCTGAAATAGTCTTGGTTTTATTTCCACAATATTAACTTCATAGTATTATCTGTATGTATATTCACCAAACTAAAATGTTAAAACTAGCATATGCAAACCAAAAGTATATATAATACATTATACATGATGATTAAAGAAATGCCAATCTGACGAACCAGTATATTTCGTTACGGTCGTTTTTCGAATTTCGGCCTCAACCTCTTTTACAATATGCATGAACTTTACAAAGATGGGAAAAAGTTGTTGCGCAAATCGGGCTCATACAACGGAAGGAATGCTGACCAAAAGTCACCTAAATCAGTTTAAGCACTTGTAGTTTAAATTATAATACGCGTATCCGGCTTACACGTAGCGCTTGGGTGCTTTGCGGTTTTATACGTGTTTTTGTGGTATGGCTAGCTGCGATCATATATACACGTCGGCAAAGACGCGGTCGATCACCTACTACAGGGAAACCATCCCCGGTAGTTACTCACGATAATGGAATTGAGCACATTGTTATTTCCTGGAATGAACGCCTTCCCATTGAGGGCGCGGCGTCCATTCGAGGGCGATCATATACATTTTCGATGCATGCTGTAACCGGTAGTTAGTCATGATAATGGAATGCGGCATATACGAAGATCTCCTTTCAATAAGTGTTGGGGTGTTCAGTATTTTTATTGTTTACAGCAATTCCTTCTTGTTATTACAGGGTATTATTTGTGTGCGGCGTTGGTTGTAAAGTCAGTCTAAACTAAATTTGCTCATGTATTCCGAGAAAAGAACGTTTCATCTTCCGTCGATTGCATTCAAACATAAAATTAGTCGCGCGCGTATATTAACATTGACGTTTCCCAACCGGGTTTTCGCCACAATTGTGTATAGATTACGTGTTCACCCTCAATTCGCCAAGAAAATGTTTTATTATCACTTTTGAAAGATATTTTCAGGCATTTGCTACCGATTTTGCCAAGAAGACCGATGGCGATGATTCGCTTGTTGTCGTGGTATCAAAACAACATTGAAAGCAAAGATTCCAAAGAATGATTCGTTTTGATGACTTCTTCCGTGGCGTGTTTCCGTTTTGTACAATCGACGGTAACAGCTATAAGCCCAGTTAAGCCTATTCAGGTTTTAAATCAGTATTTTCAATCACGAGCTAGTTAGAATATTTGATAGGGAAAAATAAAATACTATATACTATAGTGTTTTGAGGAAACACCAGAAAGCCCCCAAGCACCTCCAAGGGCATGACTTCAATTTCCTCTTCGTCTCCACCTGAAACCTTCGTTTCCATTGAAATCGCCATATAGCCCGTTTGGCACATCGAATGTACTCATGCAGGAAATGAAAAGATGGTCGTCTTAAACAGGCGCTTTCGCGATGCATTCGGAGACAATCAGTTTTTAAATACACTCGTAAACACATATATAGATATAGCTATACGCCAGTACATCGAGTGCTTGGAACTTTTTATATGTTCATCAACTGGCAAGCAGGGATATATATTTATGCGTGGTGAATAGCAACATGCTCTATACAGAGAATAACCTAACGACATCGTTCGCACATTAAAAAATTCTATATTTGTTGCCAGATGTACGAATATATAGTGAAATCATACAAATGTAGCTATCATTTGCACAGACTGTTATGTATCTGATGGAACGGTTCCAAAATAATCAAGGAAAAATAAAAAACGGCGTAATCCAACGACTGCGTAAGTTAAACGCGCAAAAACATCACGTCTTTCGACTTGGGCCTCTTCCTCCAGCGACTGCGTAAGTTAAACGTAGAAAAACATGACGTCTTTCGACTTCAGGGCCTACCTGGAATCGCCCAGACGTTTTCTTGATATGTTTTTATAATATTAGTCACTCGCGTTAAGAAGTTTCGTGAATGATCATATTTTAATGTATTTCGTGTAGTCGCAACTCATTTTGATGTATCTCAACCGCCACATATATATTTGAGTATAAGCAGCGATCTATATTATGACGAAAATTTGTCATTAGGTATTAGTCTAGTATACGTAGTTGGCGAAGAATCAAAAATTGGTATAGAGTAGACTAGAGTTAATCATGCGACTGCACGGATTAGTAAATTAGTTGTATTGCTTAAAAAATTGTAGACCTTCTGTAAAAAATTATGCAAAATGATTTTTTTTCTTCATCACTATACAATACTTACATAGTATTAGTATAAATTTCGTTCCTGCATTCTGATTGGTCAAGATATTCACTGTCTCTCAAGCGATAGTCACTGGTCGGTGACTGTAGCTTTTTGTTGTTGTTTTTCACGAATAAGAAATTTGAAATAATTACAAATTTTTATGAAAATTATGTTGATTATTATTTGTAAACTCACCTGGAAATTTATACTAAAACAATTTCTCAGGCTCGGTGATTACAAGCCTATGTAGGCTTGTAATCATGCATCTCGCCCTCGGCCACTAATTTTTAAACAGTGCATTTTGAAATTATTAAAATTTATTATAATTTACAATTGCAATGTGTTTGGTGGTAGACTATAGTTGACTGATTTTTATTGGCCTTCCGTGCCATCACAACTCGCGAAGATATAAACTATTGCATGGCTTTTGCCAAACCAGTTGCCAGAAATCCGGGGTTAATTAAAATTTATATCCTGAACAAAAATAATGCCTTTGATTACTAGCCGTGTCTACCGAGGATCCGATAAGTTAACTTTTACAAACAAAATGCAACCACCGCGGAACCGCGTGAATTTTACACCACGTGTTGAGTAATTATAATTAGAAGAGGTACTTCGCTGGCCATTCTAGAAGATATACATATGCACGAGAGATGACAGAAAACAAATATATAAAAGATCAGAAGGATATAAATATATATATATATAAAAGATCAGAAGGATATATATATATATATATATATTTTCAACTCATTTTTGGGCGTTTTTCTAGTGTGTGAAAACTTTTGTTTTAGTTGTCGAATGTCGACTACCTGTAATCCCCGCGCTGTTTCGGTTGCTAAATCAGTATTTGAGCGTCAGTGTGTGGAAACCTTTATCGGACTAATTTAGTTTTCAATAATTTTTAGTTGTCGATCACAAATAGTTGTCGACAACTAAATCCCTAGACTGTGGAGGCCATTACCTTCTACTTCTATTTTACGGAATTTCTCTAGCGGAAAAATGGCGAATGCAGGTAATATATTAAACGAACTCGTATAAAAATGCACGCTGCATGACGAAGCGGAAATATGCTTTCATCTTTGAATGACATCATCCAAACCGGAGAATTTTTAGGTTGCTTGTAAGAATGCATTTAATGCGTTTTTCATGTACGTAAGCTCCGAAGATGCTCGCGATTTTGTTCTATTTGACATGCATTCATCACCAATGACGTGTTTGCAAAAGCCTATTTTTGTATCGGAACAAACATAGCCTAATATAGGTTTAAAAAAATTAAAAAAACGAATACAAGTCTAGAGAAAACGTTATGTATCAATTTAGATATTGTGTTTCACTATATAAGACGCGTTTCGTTACGTATATGCAATGTCTTTGTACCGCGGCCGCGGGTGCACGGAACACGTGCGTGTACGCGTGCGGCCTATATCATAAATGCATGCAGCTACGCATTACTTTAACTTAATATGCTATATCTAATGGTTGCGAAGAGAATTTTGACCGTAACAGAAATTTCGAGCAATAACGAATTCTACCTCTCTCTAGATTGCGCGAACGCCCAGCCATAAGTTTGATCGACTACAAAATTGGTTTATATATAGTTGAATACATGCAGCTGTACATATAATGAAGCCAAATTTCAAAGTTAAAAAATTAATTCTGCCGGCATCCTGCAGGCAGTTTTGGATAAACCGCAATAATTGTCTGCTGAAAGTGTTTCCTGCATGTAAACGTGATCTAACAAAAATATCATAGCAAAGCGCGGATCACATGAGACCTTCTTAAAAACAGACTAATAAGTAGCTACAGTCTATATCGCAAAAAAGGCGCAGAACGCTTAAAGTTATAACATTATTATAGGTACTTGATCATGTTTGTAGACCTGTTTACCCAATCGCCGCGGCAGGGCAGAATTCGAGGATCCTTTTATGAATAGAAAGACGTCATTGCATCGCAACATGCTGACCAAAATATTTTAGGCGTCTGGCATAAATGCCCGTTGGCTAGATTGGCAACGGAGTGAAAATACTATATAAACATGCGTGTTTATCACGGCTCATGTTGTCCTGTTATAAGATTATATACACGTCGTAACGTAACAAAACATATATTTGCTTTCATTTATGCATGTTCTTATCTGATTTACTGCACGACTTGACTCTATGACGTATTTTCAATAAGGAATTTAAGATATATACAGCGCGCGTATATTGATATATATACCAATTATTTACTGCCGTAAACGAAAGGGATTCAAAATTTGCATGAAACATATACTAGCTAACTTTTTTTGAGAATTCGTTTCTATTTCCGTGTTATAAGTTTGATGCTATATGACGAACCGCTTTATCCGAATCAAATTATGTATTCCTTTAAATATTTGCGCGGCGATGGAACTGTCCTCGATATAGATACATGCATCGTTCCATGTGAAACGGCTTGAGATTTTACCCTGGTATCTTAACATACCGTCATTTACAAAACGAGAAAATTATGTCCCTTTTTCTTCATTACTGCAACGGCATTTCACTTAATATTATACACTTAATGTATGCTCCCGATGGAAATAGTGAGTTTTGTTTTCCCAACGAGGAGAAACAAAACTCATGCACTATAATTCCCGAGGTATAGTGCATGTACATTAAGAGCTTTGTTACACATAGGAACCGCAAAAACATACATGTTACACAACAATTTCATTTAAAAAATACTTTACTTTGTTATGACAATATGCCGGCAACAATTCTTCACTTTCCCTGGCGGGAAACATTGCATTTATTTAAATTCATGTGACTGCAATCACATTTAAAGTAAACAGTACCTAAAGTAAACATTACCTATATATAACAATATGCCATATACTCGTGTTAATCAATTGAACGGCAAATATTAAACAAAATCAACTATAATCTTGCTCAATATCGTTATTATAATATGGCAATTGCGAATTCTGTATTTTGATTGGCTATAAGAGACATGCTGATTGATATGACTGGTTTTAATTACAGAACTTTCCCGCCGTTTTTCTCATAATAAAAGGTAGACTTTATTTCTTTGGGTGCTATTAATGTCAAAACTAATGTCAGAGACCCACTCATGATATATAAGAATCACCAGAAAGAAGCCTTGGATAACCGTAAATTTAGAAATGCAATGTTATCGATCAAACAATAGATAAACAACTCACGCGGGCACTTGTCGATATCCGCAAACGGTTAATTGGTTACCGATTGTGACGTAAATTCAACCCAAAACACTCAAGTAAGACCACACTCATGCAAGTGCTCGCTGACTGTAGGCCACCGAGCTTTACGGTACAAACAAAAACGTGTAAGACGCATGCAATGTAAATATATTTGTTATATTACGAATCAATCGCATAAGGACCTGCACGCCACAAAGTCATGCAATAACGATGGTTTCACTAACTTACTCATTACCGACAAATGATAGGCTTTAAACGCTCTATCTTTAGGCCTATATTAAGCACGATATTAATGAGCTCATGCATGCACCATAAATATTACAACCATGCAATTATATGGGATGTAAACATCTGAAGAAGATGGAGAAGACTGTAACATCTTTCTTTCTTAAGGACAACTCGACCAAAATAGATGGTACAGATCATGCTGTTTAATATCATGAAGACTAGCTTACTTGTATTACAAAATATGTATGTAAAATTGATCTAAGATAAAAAAAATTATATATGTATTTCACTGCACACCAAACTGCTGCATTTCACTTCGCGAATTGAAAAGATTCTCCAAGAACCGGCCCATGCACAGCAATTTAGGTAGATCCCAACAAGCCAAACCAATTAAGGGCCAACGTTTTTCCCACAATGTTTTGATCGTTCACAACACCCAGATGTCTGCTATATATATCTGCGGACCACAACAGCTTGAGTGTTTTTCGGTCCTCGTACATTCAAACATGTATCAAGGTGTTTCCTTAAACTTCAAATTCTGCAGATTGTTTGCTACCTCTTGTAGTAAACTGCTTTCATTTGCTGGTGGACAAACAACTTTAGGAGAATGATACGACACATATGGTTTCAGCTAGAGTATAAACAGTTAAAAGGTAAAAAATGGGGTAGTGGAGGTGCACATCATATTTGCCGGCATGAGGTGAATTTCGGACGTAGGGCAGGCTGCGAATCGCGAACCTTATTTCAAAACATTTTGCTTCTGATTGAGAAAAAAATCATCACTTGTCAGGGTCTACCAGTTTGATGAAAAAACGTCTTCGAGTTCCATAACAATTAGACATTTGTCAATACCTTGGAACACTACAGTTTTGACTTCGCATTTTGAAAACCTAACGATATCAAAGCCAAAGGCTGCGGAATCATTTAGAAGAGGCATGAAGTGACAAAAAACGAAACGCCTCATAATCATAGTAATCACATTCACCGCCTTTCCTATGTACGTATTTGAAGAAAGCAAAGTCTCAGTGCACACAAATAAGAAGTCTGTGTCTGTAAACGAGGTACCTACGGTATAACGCAAAAAAATAGCGCATTAAATTTTTCTAATAAATGTTATATAGCATTTTGACTTAAATTGTCACACAAGTGAAATTAAACAAGTCATGTTGTTTACAACCAGCAATACCGAAAGATTCTGTAAGCCAATCAAAAGCCCATCATGGCTAGACAAGCTGGCGCCAGGTGCATGCAGTTATGCAAGCAATGCGATGGTTCCAAAAAATGAAATAAAAATTTAGAAAAGTATACTGAATAAGTTGAATACACATGAGTTTTTGATTTTTCAAACTTATCGTAAAATATTAGACGTGAAATATATACACCACGATACCAATATACATGCATGCATAAAACTGTCGGACCACAAAAACTTTAATGTTTTTCTGCTTTTATGCAATGTTCATGTTTATAACCAGCAATGCCGAAAGATCCTGAAAGTCAATCAAAAGCCCACGTCTAGACAAGCTGGCACCAGGTGCATTCAGTAGCTAATGTAAGCAATAGTTCCAAAAAATGTAATAAAAATTCAGTAAAGTATACACTGAACAAGTTGTATAAGCATAAATTTTTGATTTTTCAAATAATCGAAAAATATTAGACGTAAAATACGAAATATCCCCCCACCATTATACTTGCATGTAACCGTTGGTCCAACGTTTTTATGGAGTTTGGCAAACACAACGACAAAGAGGTCATCAAAAATAAAGGAAGCGTATCAAAAGAAAATGCACGCCTTGGTGTCTTACGTTTTTTCACTTTGCATTACCATGCAAGGCACAATCCACTGACAACGGTTGTTTATTCAATATATTAACGCCTGTATTCAAATAAAATTATTAATATTTACACTCACTCATGTTGTGTGACATATAAATTTTGTTATTACTAAATATTTCTGACCAAAAAATCAAGCTCATATTGATAAGACTGACTCAATGAGTTGAGTGTGGTGTGAGTGAGCGTTTAGAATACAGGCGTAAATCTTGAACCTTAATACTAAGTACAATTATTCCCGATTTAGACTTGGCTTTGCAATAATACTAGGTCTAGGAGAATATATATAGTTAGACTTAGGGGTTTTGAAACGACAGCGACTATTAAACTACTGTAAAAATTTATCACATGCATGCATGCAATTTGACCCATATTTAAATGACTGTTGCATGCTTTTACGAAACGATTGTCAAGGACTATGTGCATATAGTGAAGAAACTGAGCTGAAATTTGAAAGCTGTGTCCAACAACTGTGGCTCTGAATTATTATTTTCTCATTGAAAGGCAAACTATTAATATCACAAAAAGAACGCATTAAAAACTTACTTCGAAATCTGTAAGGTCCGGGACCACAAATTCTGGCACTTTCTTCGGAACTATTACGTAATGTCCTAAAATAATTCAATTGGTAATTTCCAGAATATTGTTTAGGAGGAGATATTTTTCTATGTTGCGTAGTACGTGTTCAAAGTTATAACTAAAATAGAAACACATCTTTGATTCAAGTGTCAACAAAATAATTATCTGCTTATATCTGTAAACCACAGTCAAATGTAATACATTCTATTACAATAGACTAAAACTATACAACCAGGAAATAAATAATCCTATATTTGGCAATAGAGAATAAATGAAGTATATGATAATCAATTTATTTAGAATCAGCATGCAAAGAGCCTCTTAAAGCTGCAAAAATATTTTGTGCTTGAATTTGGGAAAGCAAGCGTATATCTAAAAGTATAAATTTTATCATAATATTTATAATCAAAGTTTATCATTAAACAAGATGCCTGCTCTAGCAGGCTAGCGCTAACTCTCGCGAGCGGGCTACTCTTTTGAATATAAACAATAGTTTAATAGTAGTTCATATTCATTTAGAAAGGTAGCCAATCTAAATGTTGTTGAGTATTTTGACAGCACATGGAGATGGTATTTTTCCATTTCAGCCATTTGTAAATTGCATATGCATTGATGCAACATGAACTATTTACTTTAGTTGAACACATATCACACGCTGGTAAAAACTTTTTTGCACCACAACCATTGCAGGACGAAACATTAAAGCTAATTTTGTTGATGCGATCTTGCGTCGCGTTGTAATGTTCGTGCAAGCTCTGGGTACAAAACTAGCCGATTGCTTTGAATATTAATTTTTTTTCGTGCTACAAAGAGTATAGACAGGGAAGTAATTCATTGTACTCTGCGCCATTAGGCAGATTCAAAGATGTGATTCAAAAAAGCACCAATATAATCAGTAAAATCTCATTCAGCAAAGGCAGGAACAGATGGAATTTTTCCCTGGCAATAAAGTTGTCCTATGTCACCCACAGACTTTCACGCTCAATATACTCAATGCTGTGGATACATCTCGTAATTGCTCTCAAATTTGGATAGTACAGGATAGTATGTTTTAACATCTTGTTGAATTTGTAGACAATACCACAAATTGTCAGCTTCAACTATTGTTGAAGACCAACAAAAACCAAGGCCACCAATATCTTTCGACCTTCATGCTCTAATAATCAATTCTTTTAATGCATCACTGTGTAAGTCAACACAGAAAATTGAAATAAAATGTGGTCCTTGGCTGACTTAGCTAGAATACTGAACATTGTAATTTATATTTTGTTATTTAATTGTAGTTTTAATTAGTAGTCTGGCTTAGAAGTGTCCATAATTATTGATTGGACATATATGCAAAACACATACATGTTTACAGTACAAGGCTGAGCCTGGGCTAGGCCTGGCTTTAGCCTAGATCTTTTTAGTACAAAGCATTTACACTTACACTTCAACAGCCTGACTTTGGCCTAGAATTACAGAGGTTTGCATATTTTTACTTCATGTAAAATAGAACTAGAACGCCAACTAGAACTTTGTACCCAAGTTCGTACCAAGCGTTGCCATAGAAGTAAGCCTTAGGTCCACACCCAAGTGTTTACACTACTGTATAAAAGCCACGCTTAGCCGCTTAGGCCTGGCCTAGGCCACCTGTTATGATGGGCCTAGATTTCCTGGCCTAGGCTTGTAGTGTAAACACGACTATAGAAAGCATTTATTTCCCTGACAGTGACATCCCTCATACCTTTCTTAGTATGGAATCCTGTTGGTTTAACTCCCCTTCCTAGGAAAAGAAGAAATGCCTGGAATTTTAAATTAAGATGATATGAAAAAAAAATTTAGAATATGGCACTGTCAACCTGAGGACCTCATAGCTGTCTTTGTCTCAAAATGAGGAGTGACATTTTTTCATTCTTACGTGGAAGGTAAAAGTATAAAATTCCTTCCACAATCATGGTCATGGACTGCGAGCAGTAAGATATATATACCTTTATAGAAATTTTTGTTTCCTCTCTTGCCAGTCATAACACGACGACTTGCTCCTCGCACAAGCCCACGAAAAACGTTCAGTGGCATATCTAATCACCCTTGTTCTTACTTTAAAGACGTTTTGCACATCATATGGAGGGTGAACAGTTTATAGAAATCACCAAATTTTGTCCTCTTGGGACGCCATTTTTATAGAACCGCGTAGGGACTGGGAACAAGAACGACTGAAAGGCTTGGTTATGCGACCGATCACTGATTGCGACCAATGATTGCGACCGATCATTCGAATTCGGCTGATCACCTAGTCTACGCATAGACGGAATATGGCGGGCATGGGTCTGCGGCGCAGGCTACTGATCACCGGGTCGGTGGGTTTTTCGACTGGTTTGTGGAAACCATTGGTAAGATTTATAATCTAGATCGGACAGTGATAACCAGCAATTTTAAAACGGTCGCAAAAATCACTATCGAGCGATTCGTACAGCCCTGATCTATGCATAGTACGGTTACGGGTAAGTACACAAGTACATCACTAGCCGCCGTATTGTTCCCAATTTTCACCGGTGCGCGTTTATTCCACTGAGGTACATTACCGACAGTAGAAACATTTCGTATCCATAGAGCATAGCTGGAAACCACTGCTAAAAATATTGACTAAGATGTAAAAAGGCTAATTACAGAGATGATATATTGACATGTTTCGAAAAGGTTTCGACTCTGCCGCCGGCTGTTATAATTTAGTTTAGTTCAATTACCTAGTCCCTCTACTCTAGTTTCAACTACCGTGAATAACCAGACTAGGCTGAAAGACTGAAATGCCCAGATAGAACCACGGAAATAAATTATAACACACCGGAGAAATTGGTTTAAAAACATTTACTTTACGCTGAATAAGACGAGCGGTGTATACCATTCCGAAAGCGTACAACTTTTTTAAGATTTTAAAAATCTCGTATGTCGTGATTCTAATTTTACACACGTATCTTTACTGATTTTCGTTTGCATTTTCGAGATTCCTGTATGGTGTTCATTGTTGTTTTAACGGTTCTTAAAAATTTTTAGCTACTTGTTAGACAGAATTTAATGGCAATTCAGTAGAGATTTTTAAAATCTTCTCGAGGTAGACACGATTTTTCGAGTGATACCACCTCCGTCAAGAAAACGTACATTTAAATCTATACACTAATATATACTTTTTCAATAATTGACATCAATTCATTTAAATTACTTTGTATAATTCTGTACAGTAAATATTGTCAAATATTTCTATACTTAATATTAATAGCAGTTTATTTATATACTGTATATGTATTCAGTGCGGTTCTCTCGGGCGCAGCCCGATTCTCACTACTGACAAATGGCCTACAATTCAGCTGAATATACAACCCCACTCGTACCCAGGTTATTGGGCAAGCTAGCGGGTCCCAAATAACGTTTTCCTGATGAAAAGGACAAATGTGCCCCAATCTGCATTTGAAACATTCGTCGTGGGTATACCACCTCAACCACTACTTTCGACTTGAAGTCAAAACCTAAGTTACCCTGACAGATTCTAAACTATTGAGCTTCGAGTTTCCGGGAAACAGCAAACGGCAAGACGGCACATTTTTGGCAAAATCTTCGTTCAGTCTCTTTTTCATTTTCTTTCTTATGAGAAAAGATGGATTGTGCTTATTGTCTTTCAGCCTGCCGTTTGTCGTACAACGTGAAGCTTAACTCTCTATTAGTGCACAAATATATAAAGAGTTATAACCCAATTCTTCTTCGTGATCCTATTTTGCGTAAACAGACTGGCGAATTCTTGAGATAATTTACGTTTACCGATCGCGTTAGTTAATAAAACCTAGTTCTTGCTTATATCTTGGAATCATTGATGTTCATTGTCTGTGACCAATTCACTGTTGAGGCCCGTTTCAGACGTCGAACTTTTTATGTCCCGAATCGAATGCAAATCAAGGCATATCAAAAGTTGGACGTTGAAACAGGCCTTAAGTCTGGTTCTCATTATTAATCACCGACCTGTCGGTGATGTTTTGTTGGGGACGAAATTTTATACAAAATAACGAAGCACTTTATTCCCAAGTGACCACCGACATTAGGCATCGCCGACGTTCCGTGCGACAAGGCTTTAAGCCTGGGTCACACGTCGCACGAGTACGTCGCACTACTCGTGCGCCGAACGCGTTAAAAACAATAGACAACGAGGCTTTCCAGCTTATTGTCTACTGTTTTTATCATTGCGCATGAGAAGTGCGACGTTTGACCTAGGCTCTAGTCAATCCGGGTTAGTTACATTGCAGTTCATGCAGAATGTTTGGTAATATGCATGCAGGGATAAAACTTGAAGCGATAATTAAAGGGGGGGGGTGTGTGCATATACTACCTCTGTCCAGGGGATTTCCTTCGTACGCATATAAATTTCAGAATAAATTTCTCGGTCAGAACAGAATAAATGAATAACTCCCCCCCCCCGAAATTACCGCGCAGGTTTTGGCCCAGTATGCATGCACAATAATTTAATTGATTGATTGATTAAACCGCCAATATTTAGGATACTTTTTACATCAAACGACGAAATTCTGTTACCATTTACACTATATATAACCGATGCATGCGCAAAGCTCATCCTTACTTTGAATTCATTCATACTCTTCATGACTGTACACACAACTTATTTTATGCAATATTATAGTGTCGCTGCAGCACTTTGACTGCTGCATAAAAGCTTACTCGTTCCAGTGAACCCTACAACACTTCTATTAGTCAATTGTCATATACAACTTAAAAATGATTTTGCTTTACCGCTTAAAATATTCTAATGGTAGGGGACTAAAGGGAAAAGGTAGAGTGCAGAAATGGTTATGCATTGCACGCAAATGTAACGTACATTCGAAGAATTCCTTTTTCGCCTGACTCCGTGCTGTCTGATTGACCCACCGTGCACAGTCGTAGGCGTTGGCCTTATTCACCGACGACTACGTCTTTCATACGATAGCAAAAGTAGACAAGTGGGATATCACTAAAATCTGAGAAAAAATTCTAATTTTGGCTGTAAATATATATCTACCTATATTACGACACAACGCTACCATTCCCGAAGTGCGCCGAAATCGAGATGATGAAGTGGTAAAGCAAAATCTGAATGGACATTCTTCTATGTGTATATATATATTTTGCTCTATGACTGTACACTAAATATCTTACTCTAATGAACCTCAAGCTTACCGACTCAGCTCTTGTTTGTCGAAGTTGAGATGAATCTTGACAAGCTTCAAGCTTGCTTCTGGAGTGTTACCCCGTTGGCTATAGATTCATTCCGGACAGCAATTCGTTGCATAGCCGCTTGTAATCCCATGCGTTGCCACCAAGCCGTCGTAAACGTAAGCCATTCACAGCTAACTCGGGTGACTGACACACTTCGATCTGCATCTGCACTTCGCCATCTTGTAAAGTGAACAACAAATCTGATTGGTTGTACATCAATGACGTGGAGCGATTGTCTAATGTATTCCGAACTTCGTCCAAAATACTCCTCACGGATTTGTGTGAAATCATGTTCATATTAAAAGCCAGTGTCATATGATTCGGAGGCGATGGACTTGTAATTAAGCCGTTCGTGCCTTCAAGTTTAATCATCGGGTCTGTAAACAGGCTCCCTTTGGGGGATAGAGAGCGGCCTAACCGTCCATCTTCACCAAGGATATCCTCTTTCGAAGAGACAGCAGTGATCAAATTATTATTAAACGGCAATCGTTTGTATAAATTGTTCGCCTGGGCTTGCCTTAGCAAGTCATTAGGCGTTTCATCGTTCGGTACTGTGTGATGGCGGCGATGATGGCCACCTCTACCGGCAAGGTTTCCGGAATTTCCTGCCTCAGAGTTCAGCGTTGCTGCGTACGCAGAAGTAGCGGTCAGATGATCGGGACGAGATCCTGGAGATTGCTCATCGATAAAGGCCCGCACTTCCATATCACCAGCTAATGATGCGGTGGTTGTATTTGGAATAAAGCTAGGATTGGTAAACTCTTGATGTCCGTTGACCTGGTTCATAGTGTTCTGTTGTAGCAAATAGTGCTGGTTTATTGCTGTGGAGGTAAAAGGTTCTGTACCTGGTAATCGCTCAGGCGACATGTCACCTCGATTTTCCACATGATATGGGCTTCCTTGGGCATTGTATTGTAAACCTACACCACAGGGATCGTGACTAGATGGACTTTCTCCTCCTTCGTAGAACTGTTCCTCACTTTGAAGAGTAGCAAGGAACGGCCTTTGAAAGCTCTCGGGGGAACTTGGACCTTGGAAGCCCTGACTCTGGTTAGGTAAAAGAACGTCTAATCTCCTAAATCCCGTGTTCGCACTGTTCAAATGTCCTCCCATGGGTTCCAGCTGTAAACGTTGCATTTCTTGTTGAAGCTGCTCCTGAGGCTGGGGCCCACCCGGCGTGTGATGCAACATATCAAGCATTTCCCTTGGGGACGTCTGCGGGCTATACACGTCGGCATGCGCAGGGCTTGGAATAGGCAACGGATGAATAACATCTTCTAAGTGACCTGGACCAAGTACCGACTGCTCATCAGGAAGATGATTTGGCCGAGGGAAAATTTCATTCCTCTCTTGCATTTCCTCGTCCATCGGAAAGTCTGCCGTTGACAAGGATCCAGGACTCGGAGATGAATGGGTTGGAATGGTTAAAGGATGCTGACTTTCGATGCTTTGCAGTTGCTTTTTCTGTTGAGATAAAGACAATTGATTCTGAAATTCCGCCAATGTGGCAGCCAGATTTTCTGGACCGTCAGAAAACCTCCTGCCTCTCGAATCTCTAAGTCTTCGAAGGGATGGTGGCAAAGGCAGTATGGGATGTTGCGACCTTTGCTGTACGGGGGAGGGTAGTTGCTGATGTTGTTGCTGTTGATGATGAAACTGATGTTGTTGCTGCAACTTGAGAACGTCTGGTTGGCCGTTGTTCAAAAATCTTTGCTGCAGTTTTTGATGCTCGGCATGGATCTCCTTCAAGCTTCCTTTCTTGTTTTTACGTTCTAAATGTTGTGTGAAAGCAAGCAGTGATGCCTGGCCATCGGATGCACGACGTGCACCATACCTGCTCATACCGGGAACACCGACGTAGCTTCCCTCGCGGTTGACGCGTTCACGACTTGGCGTTCGCACACGGCGTTGCGTCTTCATAGGAAACTGACAGAGTCGTATTTCGGGTGGAATTTCACTTGCTCCGGCGAGTGTATGCCGCTTGTGACCACGCAGCCGCATGTACCGCGCAACATCTTCCGGATCAGGTTCTTGATCGGAACCGCTGTCGTGTTCCTCACTTGCCTGCGGGCTTGGAGGGCTAGATATTGCCAACGTATGGAGGCCCGAACTACCCAAGTTCTCACGGCTGTTGTCAGCTTGGGATAGCATATTAAGCCCACGCATCGCTTGAAACTGCGAAATTCCAGAAGCCAAACTTGCAGCACCTTCCGATGCCCTTCTGTCTTGGAGAGCCTGCATTTGAAAGATCGATGGCGCTGGTAGACGTTTCTCGGGGGAGTAGTTCCCTGGGCGAGGCACTGCCCTTTGTATTGGTATACCAATCAGTTGTTGCTCCGGCACACATGGATTTGCCATGATAGTATGTCGCCGTCTTTCCAGATAGTGCTTTACATCCGCGCGCATGTCTTGCGGCATTTCATCGTCGTCTTCATGCGTGCGTTGTTCTGTTATCGCGTCCGTGTCGTCGACGTTGGCAGGGACTGTGGGCGAGACAGGCGTGACTTGAACAACCGGAATCGGGCTATCTGGTGAGTTGGGATCACGTTGCGGCGACGAAGGTTCAACAACTATTACGTCATCATACGATGTATTTACGGCAGGCGAACTGGGCGCGACAATGGATTGGAAAACCCCTTGCTTATTATACGCCTTCCTCCAACGTTCCAAGAGCAAGTAGTAAATACCAGCGACATTGTCGTAACTCTTGTTTAACAGGGTCTACAAGGACAATTTGATAATGTTGAATATAACATTATCACGCCTCACATGGAATGCAAATTAAAGGCGCAATTTTTGGTACGGTACGGATGATATTTTCAACTGCCAAATAGTTAGTCAAATTTACCCGTACCAATTCCATCCGTTTACACTATGTTCAATTTCAGTTTTCAATTTTAGTTTAATTCCAGTAGATTCAATAGGTCCAAACTTTATCGGTACCAATATTACCCATGTCAAACTTAAAATTGTGCGTAGTGTAATTGGGACGTAAGAAGCTTTCTTTCTACCCCGGCTACCAAAAGTTCTTGAATCTTACTGAAGATACTGAAGATAAAAAACTCTGGCAACCAGGGTATACTCTATCTCCTGATTTAAATAAAAACGCGATTTGCTAATTCAGATTTCCACTACGAAACAACAAAGAGCCTGATGATGTTGCGAATTTTAGCTATTTTGGACAGTTCCACAACATTTTGTCGAACCGTTTGCCTAAAAGAGGCCAAACAGGAGTACTAAACAGTTTCTTCTATATCTTAGCCCAAACAAATCCGGGGGTAACGGACGGTCGGTAACCATACCTGTTTAATCGTTTCCTCGTCTGCTACTCCCATTTCACACATTTTATCCAAAACGTCTTGATTGAAGGTGTACGCTCCATTTTCACCGGGGGACATCGGTGGGTGTTCAATAACCTCACGCACACCGTCTGTCAACATCCATTTGTGTTTCTTGATTTGACTGATCGTGTAACGCTTGGAAGAGTCTAGTACCAGCATGTGACGTATCAAAGTTTCACATTCTGTCAAAAACGTAGAAAGATTGTAGTGAGAAATTCGAGGCGCTGAGACAAGACAACTTCCCTATCGTAATGCTATAGGAAAGACGATTTTGGTACTGCGTTACAAATTAAGGCAGGTTTTACAGGATACCCCGGGCCGATACTGGCCTTTGCCAAATGTTTTGATGAAGATTGGTGATTAATGACATCGCATATGTATTAACGAGAAGAATCGGCTAGACAAACCATAGTGTGCGTAATCCTACCCTTACATGCACTCAGCAATAATTTTGCGCATCTTTTAACTGCGCATCTCTGCGGTATTATTAAACAAAATCACTGCGAGGAGAACTCGATTCTACCTACAGACACCGTAAAATTCAACTTCAAATTGGCGAATTAATCGGCTAACAATTGTAACAAAATACTTAATGAATTCACTTAGCGCTATGTTTAGAACCAACGGTAATTTTTTTAATGAAAATGTAACGTACTTTCTCTGATAAATGTACTGTCTCTACAAAACTAAAGAAGCCAATATGTGAATGAATACCTGTGGACATGAAGAAAGGGATTCTGAATTTCCCAGCAAGTACGCGAGATCTCAAACTCTGTAATGTACTACCATCAAAAGGAAGCGCTCCACACACCAGTACATAAAGAACGACACCCAAACTCTAAAACCAGATAAAATGGAAAATTATAGTATAGATGGAAAATAGTGTATGAAAAATGGAAAATAGTATAGAAAGATGACGTGCGAAGGGCATGGCGTAAAAAATTTTACACCAGGATCTAACGGTAAATAGAATTGCCTAGGTGCATCCTTTTTCGGGATAACACAAGTTAAATCATATATAGCATGCACAAAAACATTACACCTGGACTGCTTGCTTGACCATTTGCCAAGTTTCCGAAAATGAGAATACGTTTTTAAATCGGCTATGTTAATTTTTTTAAACAATGGTCTATATACGTACGTGCATGTATGCATTCATGCAAATTCAACTCTCATTCCTTGTTCAAGAACACATGTAAATACACATTCTTGCCCTCAGAAAGCGCTTCAATCCTTAATTATCATTTCACAATGTCGTCACAACTGACTGCTGACAAATAAATGGCAGATATCCACACTGGATTGAGCTCATAATTAGTAACTGGTGATGTGTAACGATTAAGAAAAAAACTTACACCATTATTAAAAAAAACTTACCCAGATATCGACCTCTGGCCCTAGATACTCCTTTCCCTCAAACAGCTCTGGAGCGGCGTATGGTGGACTGCCACACCACGTGCGCAGCTTTTTGCCCTTCTCGAAAATGTTGCTAAAACCAAAATCTAGAAAGACGAGTAATGCCCTTAATGAAAAGTTAATGAACCAGCCGCAACATTTGCACAAAGCGATGGTTTTTTTTTCAACAACTGCATGTTGGCACTGCTTGCTCTAGCTTGTTGAAAATTTACTGCAATGTTGACCACTCGACAGAAGTGGATCAAATGCGAATACAACTTTGGAAAAATTTGTAAATCAGACCAGACTTTACAATCATTGATTTCTTTGTGGCAGGCACCCTAAGTCACTAAAAACTATGCTGAAAGCTCTTAATGTGACACTTTTTTAGATCTCCACTGTGATATGATTGACCATATTGGCAAAAGGCATATGCATGGAGACGGTATATAAGCTCAAATAATGGTATATAATGGCTAGTAAGGAATAGCCTAGTAGGAACTGAAATGTAAATCATTAGCCGAATGAGTTGGAGGGTTCCAAGGGCAAAATGTACGTACCTGCGATTTTGATATTCAGGTTTTCGTCAAGCAGGAGATTCTCGGCCTGTTGAAGGCACAAAACAAAAACATTTGTTCATTTCTGCAACTTTCCATATAACGACACATTTTAATGTCTTCAAAAACGTGCACAGTAATTGTAAAAGAGCCAAAATCAATCTGCGATAATAATTAGACTTTCTTCACAATGTCCAAAAATTAGAAAAACTTCCCATTACATGATTTACATCAGGTAAAATTTGTTTTGGAGCATGCTTGCTTACAGCTAGAAATTTACTCCGAATTTTACTCAATGCACTCCGAACGACAGGGAGGTGACGTGAACACATACATCATATGGTTCCTCACCTTGAGATCCCTATGTACAACACGTCTTTTATGACAATATTCAATTGCCGAAACGATTTGACTGAATTTCGTCCTTGCCTCTTTCTCGTTCATTCGCCCATTTTTCACAAGATGGTCTATGGACAAATTAAAATGGTGATTATGTCATGAGCTTAGAATTTACGCATAAAATTGTCAATTCACCTTACTGCTTATGGACGCACCCAGCATAACAGTGGGGAAATGCATTTGCTTTCAAAATGCAATGGACGCGGAAATTTTCCCCACTGTAGGAGCAAGTGTTAAATAATTTACACAATTCAAGATGACAGTGAACACATTAGCTGTCAAATATGTACAGAATTTTTTTTACTTTCTTCCTTTCCCGGTAAATAAAATGTTTTTTCCATCCCCTGGTAACTGGACCGACCAGAAATCTTCAAAACCAAATCCTCCAAAAGGAAGTTCATAAAATCCATATAGTTAAATAAAATCTTGCATGGTCAACAAAGGTCTTACTTGCTTAGGATTTGATAAAAAGGCCATGTAGAAATTTAGCATAAGAGATTATCAAGAGATTATCAAGGAACGCCCCCCTTCCTCGACCCCAGATATTACCCTACAAACGCATGATCAGGCTTTGCACAAAACAATTACTCGTGAAAAATCGTGAACTGTTGCGAAAAGTGTATATACACTATAAAAAGAATGAACTTAGAAATTTCTGCCGGCTCTTGAGCCCCATGCATTTACACATAGGATGCAACATACCAAAAATCTCTCCACTGTTTGCATATTCAGTGACCAAATACAACATCCTATCTGTCTGCATCACCTGAAAAATGATAATTTTTGTCTCATGTGACATATGACTAGATGAAAACAACAATTCCTACTTGGTCACGTTTCCAATGCAATTTTGGCAACACTAACCATGCGGTAGCAATGGTAATGGTTTAACTATAAGCACTCATGCATATTCGATATCTATTCAGGTTTAAAGTTTCGATAAACAAATATAACTAATGGTTTCAACTAGAAAAATACAATTTAATAAAGCGACTATTTTTGCTTTGTGTTTTCACTATTTGAAGTCAAACTAATTTCCAATTTGATCATCATCTTTAGCTAATACAACGAAAATACAACAGGCACGATACGGAGTTTTAACGAACAACGAATTTTTTACTCGAGATGAACATACTACACGCAAACCATGACTTCTCTGAACCGATACCGATACTTATATTATCGACATATACGTTTTGACCACCACTCCTCGTTGGTATATCTTAACATTCGAAATTTCAATATTTGGTATGAAGAAAGAAATACCTTAATATACCAAATACTAAAACAATAGAAGCTGCATGGAAAGTAAATTTGCCACAAATCCGCCTCAAAGAATATTTTTAAAGAAACGTGTACAAGGTAAAGAAAATAAAAATGAAATTAATGTGACTCGAAGAAGAGCAAAATATTTCGTAGTTTTAATCTTCCACATTTTTTTTTTACAAATATTGGGTGTCTGCCGGAAACTATGTCATGATTAACATTGCTGAGAGGATTTACAAAACCAAACAATCAATATAAAATTTAGCAGACTAGACTTCAAACGTATTGCCAGTTGCAGGAAAACAAATGATTATACCAAACGATCGAGTTGACTCGGTAACCATGGTTACTTTAAAAAATGACGGAACCAAACACTTCACGAAGAAGCCACTTCAGTATACCCTTGAAAATACGGTATGGGCGTAAGTAAGCAGATACGAGTAATTACGCAAGCGCAATCGGAAATGGAGGCGAGGAAAAACATTTAATGACGATATGTTGTGCTTGAGTCGGAGTTTCGTATGCATTAGGATTGACGTAATTGCCTGTGTTGCACAAGCGAAACACGTAATTGACGCAAAGTATTTGTAAAAACAGATTCCTTAAAAAGATCTAAACAAAAGAGACATGACCACAGGGCAATGGCGAGACGGCTTATCATGGATGCTGTCTGTCTTGGCCATCTTGCGAAGTCAACCAAATATATGCGGACAAGGTGTAATTAATGCACGAATTTAGATCGAGAAAAGCAATACCCCAAGGGCTTCCATCGTGACGTGTACAATATTCTTCCAGATGAAGGGCCTTTTGCTCGAAACGTCGAAGTACTATTATGTTTTCGACAAATGCTTTTTTTATACAAAATGTTTAACGAATCCACTTCAAACGTGAAGTGCGTGCAAAAAACAATGTGCGTGGGTTCCATCTATGCACGACGGCTGAAGGCAGGGCCAGTGCTGTCCACCTGGGAAAGAGTGTCCCGTATTAGTGGCTGATTTTTGGCCCATGCAAGAAGTTTAGCCAAAACGGGCTTGAGCCCTGCGTTTTGGGAGTGATATTCAAAATTTAAATTATTAATAGCGTTGAAACATATTTTTTAACGCACTGCCCCTCTCTAAAACTCTTTTCGGAAAATCTTTGGAGAAAGGAGAGACAGCTTTCGGCATTGTTTGTGGTCATAATGTATAAAATGCTTTTTCCGTTTCAAAAAAGTGAATCATATTACAGCGATCAATTATCGTTAAAAAAGTGTTTTTGATCAGCAAAGAAGCATTTCAATCGGCAAGAAATACATTCGAGTATATTCTCTCTAAACGAAGCACTTATACTTGAACGAGGTTGAAAACAAACAAATAAATATAATACAAAACACATTTAAAAACATGCAAAAAGTTCCCAGTGAACTCCGAAATCGTTATTTCGTGCAGGGACGTTAAAGAACGAAAGAGCAAGATGTACTATTGATATACGTCACTGCCGAAAATCATGAACGAAAGTGATTGAGGAAACCCTTACAAAAAATGCGCGCATATTTGGTAGTAGAAGATCCCTAGCAACAACCAGGGAACATTATTTTCCAGAAACACCTTTCATTCTCAAAGCAAATGAATCCGGCACTTAAATTAACACTTTCAGCAAGTGGCTGATAGGATCATTATAACTAAACCAGTTACTAGTTCCATCCAAATTCAACAAACACTTATCAAATATCTACCGTTTGCTTGATATTGAGCCGAATTTGAAATCGCAACTTTCAAATTGAAACATTTTTGTTACCAGCGTAATGCGGGCTACAGGAAATCATTCTCCTGAAATATGAAGTATATTATGCAACTATAAGGCATTTTGGTTCGGTTCCAACACTTGAAATCAACACACATGACTCGGCTAGGAAATTCCCACGGCCAAACGCTTCATTTACATTCGGACATTTTATGCTTTTCCGCTACCAACAGTCATGCAGGGGACGTTGTATCAGGCCTGTTTAGCTTAAACGGCGGATAAGTCAAAATTACATAACACTCTTACATCTCTCTTGAATGAGACTCAATGAGTCAACTTGAATTTTATGCACTGAATATATACAATATGTAGTAAACAGTTGTAAACAGTATCTTCATGTATTAAGGTTAAAAACATTTAGTTCACTTGTTAAATAAGACGATAGACTTGCGTTCTATTTTGAACTTGTCCACCGTTTAAGCTCAACGGGCTTGATACACAACCTGCCCCAGCACTATACTGAAGTGCTGGTGATGCCTTCCGTTCAACAGATTACCGTGCTGTTCGTTGGCGCTTAACTTGATAAAATGAAGGCATTATGAGATTTTAGTTCCGTAATTTTACAACGAACATTTTATTGCGTGTTTATAATCAAGTGATACAAAAATTCAGACAGCTTTCATCAAAACAAGTCGTGAACAAAAAACGTCAAAGGTCTCATATATTTTTCAGGTAGTCAATTAATCAAAACACACCACGACATTATGCAAGACAACTTGCGTATCCGAAAATTGGACGTATATGCACATTCTTCCAAACATGTTTACAAGTTATCAGCCGCTTGTTGACAAGCAGAATTCCCGGCTAAGTAATTCACATGCCAAGCTACACAATAGACGTAACGGTTGCATCGAAGCGTATTCGAGATACCTGCTGAAGGTCCTAGCTTTAACATACAGCATAACCACATGCATTTCTATAAAACTGCACGATATCCCAGTAAGTCACGAATATTGAAATTACCATTTAGCTAAAGAGAGATAATCTTATATATGTTGGACTTCATCCTGTAAACACGTCGTAACTCATAAATCAGTACTTGATTGACATATCGAGGGCAGTAATGCAGTCATATATAGGATCACGCCTACAGAATTCTCGTCACAATGCGCAATACTTATTAAGGCCGTGGAGATGCAAAACACGCAACTTTCATGCACGCAACAGAAATATATTAAAGGCTTTGTTGCTCTTTTTCGGGCCCCATACTTGCAACATGTTTCATGGAAAAAAATGAACAAAAAATCGGATATTGCAATGTCGTCTTCATCCCAGTAAGCGGTAATATGCAAACGTTTGTGAAAATGACCCTATAAACCTTGGACTTTCAAATTCTGAATTATAGGAATGTCACCTCTTTCTTAGTGTTAATCAGTAATCGCCATATATAAACCTAATTATTTAATCGACAGAGTGCAACGGCAAAAATCGATCAATTCCTAAAATTTTCCAAAGAATATTATTATAAAGCGCCGATAACAATTTTCTCAGGATTTTATATATGATCGTATCGACATATGAAAACGCGTATCACACCAGTGATTGCGGACAAAGTCCAATCATTGTGGTCCAATATTGCCATAATTAAAATCGTTTACAGCTGTAGCAAATATCACTGAAAACTTCCTTTCTACAAAAACACATTACCACGTGCACGACAGCACTGAAGAAAAAAGACGTATTGGTAATTAATTAAGGTTGTAATTTTACAACGACAGTGGGGCTTTAAGCTATTGGTTTTCATAACTGTAAGTTAATCAATATGCGACTAGCTTTACTGATATATGTAAACAAAAAGTGTCCAGCCCCATTCATTTGACTGCAGGGCGGGGGGTTGACAAATTGAATGGCACAACAATTAATGTCGAACACTGCAACCGCTAGTTATGACATGCGACTGCTAGATATCCCACCCAAGAAGTCATTTATCACGCTGGACTTAAATAAATGTAGCCAACCTTTGTGAAATCGTCCAAAACATAACTTAAAAGGCGCATTGCCATTGACAATTAAGGTTGTGATTCAATAATGGTATAGTGAGAATTTAGCTATATCAGTTTTCATAACTATAAACTACGACTGTTAAACAATATGTTCCAAATATGGCGACTAGCTTCACTGACATGCATTTAAAAAGTCGACAACGTGATCCATTTGACAACCGGGAGGGGGTCATGGGCACATTGAATGCTTAAAACAATCAAAGGTCGATAAATAAGAGATCTGCATGAAATGTATGATTAGATAGACCCCTATTTATCACGCTAATATGAAATAAAGTGAAATGTCAACTTCAGAAGAATAAACTTCTCGTTCGTGAAATTGTCCAAAACATAAACTTGAACTTTGTAAAATCTCACGGTTTAAGAAGCAAAAACACGCGCGGTAGATATTCCAGTCTCAAAAACATTATTGACACAATACATAACAGAGCCATGCAGAATTCTTTATCGATGGCCATATATTAATGTACGAGTACAATTATTGTCTTGCAGAATGCAGATAACTCCACTCACATAGACATTCAGTATATATAATCTCAGTGAGTTGTAAAAAAAATTGTAATCAGGTAAAAAAATGTTGCTTTTGAACGATAACAAATGAAAACAGACGGAGTAACCAAGTGCAAACATTGATATTACATATACAAACAATGATAACCCAAGATGTTGACGACGAAGGCACGCAAGCCCAACAATTCAATTTCATGTCCACCTT